CAGAACAGATGACAAGATGCATGACAACAGGCCTGTGTAACGTAGCAAGCGCCAGCCGGAAGCCACGCCTGCATCCCAGGCTGCTCTCCTCCCTCCCAGCGAGGGCACGGCCCTGCTTCCGAGTGCCCCCTGCTGTGCGCACTCATTCTGCACCTCAGCGTGGTTCCTGGTGCCCACGTGCTCGATTTGCCACACGCTGACTTTAAGCCCAGAGGTGGGATCTCAGCCGTGGGTTTGAGGGGTGCTGTGTCTCGTGGGTGACAGGAGTTGGTTTTCGTTCCTGCGTGGTACCCTGTTGTGGAACTATAACCTCGTATCAGTATCTGTCCACGATGGCTGGGGGTCCAGTCTCAGTCACCTGAAGTACAGAGCTGCTGGGAGCAGGTTTCACGGGGGTGTGCACCAACTGGGATGGCCGGGCCTCGGGAGGAATGTGTGGACTTGGTGTCTTCCTGAGGGTCTCTGCAGCTTACACCGCCCTGCCTGCACTGGGAGTGTGCCCCGCTTTTTCCAAGCAAGACTGTGCCCTCAGAGGGTCGGGCCACCCACCCCTGCCCTGCTGCATCTAGGGACCTGCCTCAACCCCCTGAAGCTGAACTCCGGGATAGTCAAGACCCCCAGGCCCAGCAGGCGGGGCACAGAGGTTAGTCAGCCCTGCAGCCCAGGAGGCCCACACACAGTGGGCGGCTGCAGGTGGTTCCTTGGGACCAGAGGGTGGGCCTTCCTCCTCAGGGTGGAGCCAGCATCCCTTCCCTCCTGGGAGCTGTCCAGGAGACCCCGCCTGGGGTGCAGAGTGGTTCTGTCCGGCCACAGCTGTGGCTTTTGCCACTTTCTGGAGCCAAGAAGGGCAGCTCTGGAGGCGTGAACTAGGTCAGCGCCTGCTCACCAGGCGCAGCCCAGGATCACCAGACAGGAGCAGGGCTGGCAGAGGGTGGAAGCCTGGATCCTATTAAGTAAAGCACCTTAGCACCCTGGGGGCGGGGCGGCCTCCTACGTGCCCAGACGCCCGTGCCAGGCTGCCTGGGACACCTGGCTCTGGCCCGCTGTACGTGCATGCAGGGTGGGGGCCTGGCCTGCCGCGGTGGTGCTGTCCCGGGTCCCGTAGGCAGGCTGCCCAGAGATGGGGGTGTGGATTTTGCTGCCTTTTTAAAGGTGTTCTGAGCCTCGGCTGCACATGTGGGGGAGATTAACCACCCCCTTTCAGGGACAGCCTGTGGAACGCTCAGCAGCCCTTCCATTTCCTCCCTTTAAATAGGCGACAAGGTGGGACTCACCACCCGGGGTAGGGGTGATGGTTCAGGGAGCCTGGTGTTTGGTTCGGGTGTGGGCTGTGTAGCCACAGCTGTGTGTGTCATGATGGGACGAACCCCTGGGCCGTCCTTTGAGAGGCGAGCTGCTCTGCCTTGGGTGGCTGGTTCTCTTCCCAGAGCCCAGGGGGGCAGCCATGGCCCTCTCTGGTGTCTAACTGGGTGGCTTGGTGCTGGGAGCCTGCCCGGTTCTCGCTCCCTGGGGTAGCTTGTGAAGACCAAATTTAGCTGCAAGGAGAGGTGGAACCCGATGCCCTGTGTGGGTTCTGGGTGGGCCCAGGCTGGGCAGGGGAGGTCAGCGGTGGCTGATGAGGCTGTGCTCTCACCTCACCCCCTTCAGGAGCCCCGGAGAGAGTCACTGCTGCCCTGTGGGAAGGGTGGGCATGCCCAGCTGGGGCCCCGTGAGTTGGGGGTTGTGTCAGGCCTGGGCCTGCAGCTGCCCTGGAGCAGCTCCCCAGCCCCGGTGGGGTGGAGTATGGACTGGGGCTTGTTTGTCCTCACTCCTCATCCCTGACTCTGCCAGGACTGGAGGCGGCAAGGCTGGGCCCTTCCAGGACACAAGGGTTACTGGCTTCCCATTGGCATGGGCAGAGAGTGAGGATGGGACTCCAGTCCCCCTGCTTGGGCTGCCCTGCCACTTCCCAGCCTGAGCGTGTCTCCCAGCCTCTGGGGCTTCAGTGTGCTCATCTGGGAAGTGGGCTGGTGACCGCGTATTGCCTGGGCTCGTGCAGGGCTGGTGGAGTTCCAGTTCACAGGAGGCTCTTGGAGGCACGGGGAAGGGCCTTGTGTGCCCCTAACGCCCAGCTCAGGGAGTTGGATGTCCACAGCCCTGAGGGCCTGTCAAGCTGTCATTGTCCCAGGGCAGTTGGGGCCAATGTCTGTAGTGAGGTGGATGCCCCCAGACAGTCCCTGCAGCCCCACCCGCTCTGGCCCTGAGTCCCAGGGAGGGAGGCTGAGCGTGGGCCAGGCCATGGTTTCTGCAAGGGACCATCTGAAGTGCAGTGAGGAGGCTGGAGGTTCGCTGGCCCCACAGCCCCCCCGCCCACTCCCTTCTGGGAGTCGGTGCTCCAGGATTTTGGGGATGGAGGAGGTGGCCTGCTCAGTGGGGAGTGTAGGAGGGTCTGGGAAGGTGACATGGGGGTGACATCTGTGACTCTGGGGCAAAGCCAGTGGTCTAGATGCGTCAGTAGTGAGGTGGGTCCCAACACCCATGAGGCCAGTGTGGCTGGAGGGATGGCAGGGCCAGGTGCCCTGGGTAGGGGTGTTGGGGACCCTTGCTGCAGTGTGAGCAGCGGATGGGGTGGGGAGAGCCTCCTTGCCAGAGTCCCATGGGCCCGGGACGCGTCACTGGCTCCACCGGGATCTCCCTGGTGGGCCGTTTCTTAAGAAGTCGTCACGTCACTGGGGTGCAGTGGTGCGATCTCCCAGCTCACTGCAGCTGTGGCCTCCTGGGCCTCAGCCCGGAGTAGCTGGGACTGCAGGCCTGCAGTGTCACACCTGGATAATTTTTGTATTTTTTTGTAGAGATAGGGCTTTGCTGTGTTGCCCAGGCTGGTCTCAAACTCCTGGGCTCAGGTGATCCTCCTGCCCTGGCCTCCCAACATGCTGGGATTGCAGACATGAGCCATTGTATTGGCCAGACCTTAGCCTTTCTAGGGCTGAGGGGTGGCTGCCTTAGGGTTTTGGAGGTGGGAGGAGGCTTCAGGCTTCAGTCAGCACCCCCAGCCCCACACAGCCCAGGCCTGGGTGAGTGGCTGGGGGATGGGAGGCTGGGCCCTGCTCTGCACATTCACTGGGTGTTCCGCCTGCGGGGTGCCTCTGTCTTTGTCTTTGACACATCCCTGCTTGTCCTGGCTTTGCTGGTGGGTTTGGAGCTCTGGTGAGCAGGTCATGACTTGGGGAGCTCCTGGCTGTGTGATCCAGGGCAGGTGGCCCCCAGAGAGGGAGGAGAGATGTAGGCACTCCCTGGAGTGGTTGTGGGGAGGGTAGTGGCAGGCCCAGGTCAGGGAGTGGGCTGTCCTGAAGTGATTTCTGGGTCCAGCTCTGTCTCCTCCTTCCTGGGTTCTGCCTGGCACTGTCGTTCTATCCTGTGCCCCGCCCTGCACCGCTTGTGGATCATTTCTCCCCATAGCTGTTGGGGGGCCTGGGTTTCCCATGTACTCTTCCCGAGCAGGCAGGTGAGCCCAGGTGGGGGTTGCGGTGCACAGGTTGTGGGTACAGTGGGCCAAGGCCCACCTCATGGGCAGGTCCCACCAGGCTGTGCCTGGGCTTCTGGGTCTCCCTCTGGCCACGTGGTGTCTGGGTCCGGGGATGCTGCCTGAGCATTAGCCGTCCCAGAGCACTCTCTCCTGAGCCTGCCCCTGCTCAGCACCCTTGCACCAGCCCACGGCCCCTCTTCAGCGCAGCTCTGGGGGCACAGGGCCTTCTCCCGTTTACGAAGCAGGTGTCACCAGCGGCACTGTGGATGTCCTTCTGATTGGTCAGGGCCTGCTGGGGCGGGGTGAGCAGGAGCCCTGTCAGCCATCCTGTGTGGGGCCAGGCTCCCGCAGGCAGAGTGCTGTTCCTCCTGCAGCCCCCTCCAGGTGCGGCTCCCCCTTGCTTTCAGAGAACTTGGGGCAGCTCGGGGTAGAAGTGGGACGGCCATTCAGCAAGGTGTGGATTCGCTTCCCTTTGAGCACCCCGGGCGTGTGGACAGGTGCAGGGCAGAGGGAGAGGCTTTGTGGAGAAAGGGCTTCCTCCTGTTCTGAGGCCCCAGGTGGGGTGTGGGGGCCTGGATCATCCAGCCAAACCCCTGCTTTGATATGGTTTCCTGGGCCTGACTTTCCTCGTCTGTGATGTGGGGGTGATGAGGGCTCACCCGTGGCTTCGAGGAGTGGTAGGCCACAGGGAGGCCCGGGTCCCAGGTGGGGGTGTGCGTGCTGGCTGTCGGGGTGTGCACTGTGTCTGGCGCTGGTGCCTCACTCAGAGTTTCATGAGGCAGGCAAGGGCGGGTACAGGTGGCACCCGGGTCAAGTCTGTTTGAGCTGAGGGCTAAGCAGCTGCTGGCCAGGCCTTGCTGGCCCTGCCGTGCAGGGGGTGGCTTGGATGCCTTCTGCTGGAAGCACTGGGGCCATGTGTGGCAACCTGAGCTGCTGCCACGTTGGGGTAGGGTGGAGGCCTGCGGGCCTCTGGGTCAGCTCAGGTTGGGGTAGGGTGGAGGCCTGTGGGCCTCTGGGTCAGCTCAGGTTGGGGTAGGGTGGAGGCCTGCGGGCCTCTGGGTCAGCTCAGGTTGGGGTAGGGTGAAGGCCTGCGGGCCTCTGGGTCAATGTGGAAGCACCAACCTGCAGTCTGTTGGTGTCTTTGATTCTGGGCTCAGGAGCTGAGTTTCCATGTCTTGAGGGTCAGGGCCTACGCCCTTCCTGCTAGGGGGTATGTCCTTGGCCAGGAATTGTCACTGGTATGGGGGGACCAGGGACCTTTACCTTGATCATGATGGAGACCTGGATGGCCACAAAACACAGCACTCTGAACTCTCCCACCTACAAAGCACATGGCCACAGACATCCTCCTCTCTTGGACACTGGCTGACCGGCTAATTCCTGGCACTGTGGGGCCTGCCCAGGCTGAATTGGGGCTGCGTCAGACTCCCTGCAGTGGGGCTGGGTAGGGACAGGTGGCACTGGGACCTCTCACAGCCTCTTTTCTGTCTTGCAGGAGATGGCCAATTCTGTGTACCTGGTCATGGAGGTGAGTCCCTTGTGGGGCCAGGACAAGCACAGGCTGATGGCCATGGCCCTGGGAGCCCCGGAGGGAGGGATGTGGCCAGGGTGGAAGGTGATGAGCTTTTTTTTTTTTTGAGACGGAGTCTCACTTTGTCGCCCAGGCTGGAGTGCAGTGACCTCTGCTCGCTGCAACTTCCACCTCCCGGGTACAAGTGATTCTCCTGCCTCAGCCTCCTGAGTAGCTGAGATTACATGTACCTGCCACCATGCCCAGCTAATGTTTGTATTTTTAGTACAGACAGGGTTTCACCATGTTGGTCAGGCTGATCTCAAACTCCTGACCTCGTGATCTACCTGCCTTGGCCTCCCAAAGTGTTGGGATTACAGGTGTGAGCCACCATGCCTGGCCTTTTTTTTTGAGCTGGAGTCTCACCATCGCCCAGGCCAGAGTGCAGTGGCATCATCTCGGCTCACTGCAACCTCTGCCTCCAGGTTCAAACGATTCTCCTGCCTTAGGCTCCTGAGTAGCTGGGATTACAGGCATGGGCCACAATGCCCGGCTAATTTTTGTATTTTTATTAGAGACGGGGTTTCGCCACGTTGGCCAGGCTGGTCTTGAACTCCCGACTTCAAGCGATCCACCTGCCTTGGCCTTCCAAAGTGCTGGGATTACAGGGGAGAGCCACTGCACCTACTGAGCACTATTGATGTCTTCCAGCTGGGACTGTGGGGACGTCCACCGTAGGGTGGATGGCTGCTTAAGGGTCCAGGGAACAGTGTCCAAGTGTGAGGGGCGGGGAGGCTGGGCAGGGCTGGGAGGTGGGTCCTGGCCCCCCACTGCAGCCTGACGTGTGTCTGGTCTTTCACAGTACTGCAACGGCGGGGATCTGGCCGACTACCTGCACAGTGAGTGCACCAGCACAGCAGACAGGCTGCCAGCCTGTCCCACGGGGCCCCACATCAGGGCTACCCTGGCCCGGCCTGGGAGGCGGCCTGGCTTGAGGGGGTCCCTGGCTGATTGTGAGACGGGATTTCTTGTCCCCTGGGGCTCCTGAGAGGATTCGGGAGGCTGAGCTGCTCCGGATGTGATGATGCCGCCCGTCTGTGCACCTGCCCCTTGCTTGGGGAGACAGCTGTGACCAGCATAGTGCCAGGCTTCTGGTGGAGTGACGGCCCTGGGAGCGGCACAAGGGGCACAGGGCTGGTCTCCATAATGTGGCTGGAAAGCGGCTCTTGGCCCACCCAAAATTAAGCCGTGCGGCCAGGGCTGCGGGGGGAGTGGGCAGGACGGCAGGTGGTGCTGCCCGTCTGATCTCAGGCTTCCGGAGTGGGTCCGGGCCACAGGGCCAGTGCGCGTGGGGGCATGTGTGGTGCCGGCGGCCTCTGGGGTATCCTGAGGGTCTGGAGGGGGCTTGGGCCTGGGCACCTGGGAGCCGGAAGGGCCGCTCTCAAACCTGCTGAGCCGTGCGTGGCCCTCAGCGCTGGGGTGGGAGTGTGGACGCGGCCCCCCGAGGGCACAGACCCCACCATCCCCGTCCCCGTCCTGGGAGACAGACGTTGAAGCTGGGCAGAGCTGAGACAGCCGACCCGGGGACTCGGGCTGCGGATCAGGGCTGCTCAGAGCTGGCCTTTGGATGCCGGGAAGGCGGCACGGAGGGGCTGCTCTCTCCCGGGCGGGGCTTCCAGCACCTGTCCGGCCGCTGTGCCCTGGGACCAAGTGGCTCCCGGCAGCGCAGTACGGGGGACGGAGAGGAGGGCGGAGGGCTGCGCGGCCCCTCGTGTCCCTGCAGCAGCTGCAGCCCCGGGGCTCCAGGTGCTCCCCGCGCCGCCCCGACCCGGCTCGCCTGCCCCCGCCCAGGGCTGGGTTTCCTCTCCCGCAGCCATGCGCACGCTGAGCGAGGACACCATCAGGCTCTTCCTGCAGCAGATCGCGGGCGCCATGCGGCTCCTGCACAGTAAGGGCATCATCCACCGCGACCTGAAGCCGCAGAACATCCTGCTTTCCAACCCCGCCGGCCGCCGCGCCAACCCCAACAGCATCCGCGTCAAGATCGGTGAGCGCCGGGCGGCCAGGCGGGCACGGCCTGGCACGGCGGGGAGCCCGGCGCCCGTCCTGACGTGTCTCTCCCGCAGCTGACTTCGGCTTCGCGCGGTACCTCCAGAGCAACATGATGGCGGCCACGCTCTGCGGCTCCCCCATGTACATGGTGTGTTTGCTGTGGCCGGGCGGGCGCCGAGCCGGGCGGCTCTTGGCTGTGGTGTGGCGGGCTCTGCTCTGCTTGGCTAGGGTGCGTGGCAGGCTCTGCTCTGATTGGCTAGGGCCTGGCATGCTCTGCTCTGCTTGGCTAGGGTGCGTGGCAGGCTCTGCTCTGATTGGCTAGGGCCTGGCATGCTCTGCTCTGGTTGGCTAGGGCCTGGCACGCTCTGCTCTGGTTGGCTAGGGCCTGGCATGCTCTGCTCTGCTTGGCTAGGGTGCGTGGCAGGCTCTGCTCTGATTGGCTAGGGCCTGGCATGCTCTGCTCTGGTTGGCTAGGGCCTGGCGTGCTCTGCTCTGCTTGGCTAGGGTGTGTGGCAGGCTCTGCTCTGATTGGCTGGGATGAAGTGGGTTCTGCAGTTGGCTCTGCTCTGATTGGCTAAGGTGTGACAGGCTCTGCTCAGGTTGGCTAGGGCCTGGCATGCTCTGCTCTGCTTGGCTAGGGTGTGTGGCAGGCTCTGCTCTGCTTGGCTAGGGTGTGTGGCAGGCCGTGCTCTGATTGGCTGGGGTGCAGTGGGTTCTGCAGTTGGCTCTGCTCTGATTGGCTAAGGTGCGGCAGGCTCTGCTCTGGTTGGCTGTGGCCGGCGGGCCCTGTTGAGGTCGGGGTGCTCGCTCTGGCGGCTGTGGGGGCCTCCCCCTGAGCTGCGATTCTGGTCCCGCAGGCCCCCGAGGTCATCATGTCGCAGCACTACGACGGGAAGGCGGACCTATGGAGCATCGGCACCATCGTCTACCAGTGCCTGACCGGGAAGGCGCCCTTCCAGGTAACTGGGCCGCACCCTCCGCTCGACCGTCCCGCGGCCGCGGTCCCGGGTCCCGGCGGGGCGGGCTCTGCTGTGGGTGGCTGTGGCGCGGGGCGGGCCTCGGTGTCCCCCAGGGAGGGCGGCGCCCGGGCGGTGGCTGGTGGGAGGCGGGGCGGTCACCCCGAGAGCAGGGAGCGGCGGTGCCAGCCGGGGTCCCCGGGCCGCAGCGTCTGCCTGCCCGGCCCACGCCGCGACCCCGCGCTCAGGCCGCCCCGTCCCCGCAGGCCAGCAGCCCGCAGGACCTGCGCCTGTTCTACGAGAAGAACAAGACGCTGGTGCCCACGTAAGCGCGCCCCCGCCCCTCCCCCGGTGCCCACGTAAGCGCGCCCCCGCCCCTCCCCCGGTGCCCACGTAAGCGCGCTCCCCGCCCCTCCCCCGGTGCCCACGTAAGCGCGCCCCCGCCCCTCCCCCGGTGCCCACGTAAGCGCGCTCCCCGCCCCTCCCCCGGGCCCCCGGGCCGGCCCTGCCCACACCAGCCTCCTCTCCGCAGCATCCCCCGGGAGACCTCGGCCCCGCTGCGCCAGCTGCTCCTGGCCCTGCTCCAGCGCAACCACAAGGACCGCATGGACTTCGGTGAGCCCCGCTCCCTCCCGCCTTCGCTGCTGTGGCCGCCCCCTTCGCCCCAGCCCCACGTGCACGTGCGCTTTCGGACAGCCGGCGCCGGCGGGGCTCCCGTCCTCCGTCTCCCCGGGGCAGGTGCCCCGCAGCCGCTGGAGCTCGGGGCCTGGGGTCAGAGTCGGGTCCTCCTGAGGCCTCACTCCTCCTTTCTCCTGCAGATGAGTTTTTCCAGCACCCTTTCCTTGACGCCAGCCCCTCAGTCAGGAAGTGTGAGTTCCGTGGGTCTTGGGGCTCCGGAGGGGTCTGCACATCTTCCTCTCTGGTCTGCTTAGACCCTGAGTATGGGGCAGAGGGAGCAGCCCTTGAGCTGAAGCTGGATCCCAGGGAGGGCAGGGCACCCAGCTTCTCGAACTGCAGCAGCAGGGACCCCAAGGCCAGGGGTGGGCCTGGTGCCACAGGCTTGGGAGGGCATGGGGATGGGGTGAAGGAGAGGCTGGTGCTGCCCTGTGACAGTCGTGGATGCCTCAGGAGGAGTCTCCGCCTTCCTGCAGGTTGGGATATAGCGGGAGGTGGAGGGGATGTGGTGGAGTTGGTGCAGTCTGTGGGCTGGCTGAAGGGTGAGAAGGGGTGGAGAATGGCACAGACTCACCTCTGCACTTTTCTCTTAGCCCCGCCTGTGCCTGTGCCCTCGTACCCAAGCTCCGGGTCTGGCAGCAGCTCCAGCAGCAGCTCCACTTCCCACCTGGCCTCCCCGCCGGTGAGTTGCTGCCCCAGGGGCCTGATAGCTTCTCCCTCCATTCAGCAGTCAGGGGCTCCAGCCCTGGGCTGTCCATCTGTCCATCTGAACGTGCTCCTGCTCTCGGGCGTGGTGTTTGTAGCTGATGGTGACTGCTTCGTGTCTGGGCTTTCCTGGCCTGGCCCCCTGCTCTGTGACCGGATCGGATCTCTGAGCTTGCTTGTCCGCCTGTTGATAGCCAGATGCTCGGATGTGGCGACGGGAGTGTGGCTCTCCACAGAGTTGCCCTCGGGCACATGGGGCTTCAGCCACTGCCACGTGGATGGTGTGTGCTGGGCCTTAGCATGGCGCTGGCCTCAGAGCAGGGCCCACCAGTGGTGGCAGAGGCCTCCACAGTGGACACGCCCCCGCATAGCACCTCGTTTCCTTGGCTGTCAGATGGACAGGTGAGGTGCAGAGAGCAGGTGGGGAACAACTCCCCAAAACAGGGCCTTCCAGAACTGCTGGGAGCTGAGGCCTTCTACCCACCCAGGCTGCATGGTGGGAGGGCACGTCAGGGCACAGAGGAGAGCAGAGCTCCAGGAAGAAAGACGTACCCATCCCTCTTCAGCCCAAGCACCCTGATCTTTGCTGGGGTTCTGGGCTATCTCAAAGGAGGGAAGATCTGCTCTTCTGAGTATCTGGGTCCCTGAGACCTGCTCACCAGCCCCTCCATTGACCCCCAGTCCCTGGGCGAGATGCAGCAACTGCAGAAGACCCTGACCTCCCCAGCCGATGCCACTGGCTTCCTGCACAGCTCCCGGGACTCTGGCGGCAGCAAGGACTCCTCCTGTGACACAGACGACTTCGTCATGGTCCCCGCGCAGTTTCCAGGTCAGGGCTCAGGTGCCTCTGAGGGTGGGGGAGCGTGCATTGCACTTGGTGGTCTGAGGGCCAGGAGGGGGGAGCGTGCATTGCACTTGTTGGTCATCTGAGGGCGGGGGGAGCGTGCATTTCACTTGGTCATCTGAGGGCCCGGGGGAGTGTGCATTGCCTTTGTTGGTGGTCTGAGGGCTGGGAGGGGGGAGCGTGCATTGCACTTGGTCATCTGAGGGTGTGGGGAGCGTGATTGCACTTGGTGGTCTGAGGGCCGGGGTGGGAGTGTGCGTTGCCCTTGTTGGTGGTCTGAGGGTGGGGGAGTGTGCATTGCCTTTGTTGGTGGTCTGAGGGTGGGGGGAGCATGCATTGCCCTTGTTGATGGTCTGAGGGCCAGGGGGAGTGTGCGTTGCACTTGTTGATGGTCTGAGGGTGGGGGGAGCTTATGTTGAACTTGTTGGTGGTCTGAGGGCTGGGGGGAGTGTGGGTTGCACTTGGTGGTCTGAGGGTGGGGGAGCATGCGTTGTACTTGGTGGTCTGAGGGTGGGGGAGCGTGCATTGCACTTGGTGGTCTGAGGGTGGGGGAGCGTGCGTTGCACTTGGTGGTCTGAGGGTGGGGGGAGCGTGCATTGCACTTGGTGGTGGTCTGAGGGTGGGGGGAGCGTGCATTGCAGTTGGTGGTCTGAGGGCCGGGGGAGCATGCGTTGCACTTGGTGATCTGAGGGCCGGGAGCGGGGAGCGTGCGTTGCACTTGTTGGTCGCACCATGTAGCCCATCTGCACTCACAGGCAGTCAGGATGGGCCCCTGGGCACCAGCATCAGCTCAGCGTTGTTGGAGAGGCCGTCTCTGGGGAATCAAAGCTGGGTCCTCCCAGTGGTCGGCCAGAGGCCGTAGGCCTGGCTCCCAGGCAGTGCTGCTCTTCTAGTGGGGTGCTGGCCGCTGAACTCACGCCCCTTCCTCCTGCTGCCTCCTAGCTTGATTCTCAGCAGCTCTTGCTGCCCCACACCCTGCAGATGGGTTTATTCCTTAGTGTTTTGGGAACTTCCCCCCATAGTGTCCAGGGGCTGCCCACATGTTGAACGAAGGTGCCTAAACCTTTGGAGCAGGCCTGGGGTCTGTAGCCCCTCCGAGGGCCCTGCACTCTGTCCCTGGGTGTCCTGAAGCTCCTGGAGGTCTGGGTTGGCACTTCTTCCCCCGTGTCCACCAGGGAAACAATGACTCATGCAGAGCTTTCTGCATCTCCCGTCAGCTTGGCTCCTGTGGGGGTGGTGAGGGCTGTGGCGGGCCCCAGACAGACCCGGGGATGGACCCAGGGAGGGCCTTGGCCCTTCGCCAGCTTTCAGGGCACCAGGAAGACAGGACTAGGGGCAGGCCAGAGCCTCCTTGGGGGCGGGAACCTGGTCATTCCCGGAGGGGGTTGGGCCCAGCTTGACCTCCCCCACCCGTCCTAGAGTGTATTGAAGGCTGGGGCCTCTGGGGCTGAGGCCACAAGGAGACAGGAAGCACAGTTCAAGTGTGGAGAAAGGGAGGCAGGCGGTGCTCTGGTGTCCCGGGGCTGGTCTGGGGCTGGCAGGGTGTAGCCTGGACACGCCGCCCTAGTTCTGCACCCTGCAAGGCCGCTGTACACACTGAGGGCCCTGCAAGGTGGAGTGTGTGCGGGGGTCCAGCAGGGACCCTCAGTGGTGTGGGGGCCCTCGGCAGCCTGTAAGGGCTCCAGGCCCAGCCTTGTCTTCCCCTGCAGGTGACCTGGTTGCTGAGGTACCCAGTGCCAAGCCCCCGCCAGACAGCCTGATGTGCAGTGGGTGAGCGCCCATCCCTCAGCCCTGTATTTTAGGGAAGAAAAACTGTCATCTTGGAGGTGGCCCATGTTACCCCTGCCTGGAGTCATCAGGCAGCTCTGGGAGGGCTGAGACTGCCGAGTCCGCTGCAGGCGGGACTGGTGGGGCACAGGGCAGGCCGAGGCTTCGTGTGGCTTGAAAATGCCCTTGGCCTCCGTTCTCCACAGGAGCTCGCTGGTGGCCTCTGTGGGCCTGGAGAGCCATGGCCGGACCCCATCTCCATCCCCACCCTGCAGCAGCTCCCCTAGTCCCTCAGGGTAAGCAGGGCCCTGGCAGGGTGGGTGGGGCTGTGAGCAGTCCTCCAGCTGGAGGTTGGGCCTCCTGTGTGTCCCAGCCAGCCCCCGCCTGCTGTGTCGAGGTGCCCCTGCCTTCTCCCAGGCCTTGCAGGGTCTGCTGGGACATTCTGCAGAAGGGACTGTAGTGGGAGGCGTATTGACAGTAGGTGAGTGAGGACCAACCAGGGGTGCCAGGGGCCAGCACAGCCCTATCGCAACCCCTGAGCCTGTAGGGCCAGCAACGCTCAGGGTGGCCTCCCACTGGCTGGGTCACACCAGGAGCCCAGGTGGGGTGCAAGTGCCACCTTGTTGGTGTGTGTAGAGGCACAGAGGCCAGCTCTTCAGACCTGGCATGGAGCCCAGGTGGGGTGCAAGTGCCACCTTGTTGGTGTGTGTAGAGGCACAGAGGCCAGCTCTTCAGACCTGGCATGGAGCCCAGGGTGACCTCTGTGCTAGCTGGCAAGTCTGGGCTTAAGCTTTCTTCCGGTGGCCCGGCTTCATGACCTCACCCTCTACCCTGACCTCTCTCTGCCACAGCCGGGCCGGCCCGTTCTCCAGCAGCAGGTGCGGCGCCTCGGTCCCCATCCCAGTCCCCACGCAGGTGCAGAACTACCAACGCATCGAGCGAAACCTGCAGTCACCTACCCCGTTTCAAACGCCTCGGTGAGTGCGGAGTCTCCAGCAGCCAGGCGTGGCCCAGGGGCATGTGTGACCGGAGTCCCTCCACGGCTCCCATGGAGGGACGGGGGGCCATGCACGTGCAGCTGTGCAGGCCGTGCACTCACACTCAGCACCACCGTTCACTCTGTTGATTTCTTCGCTTTCTAGAGTTACTTTGATAGTTCTCTGACTGGCAAAATGTCTTGAGTTTATAAAATCAATATTGACTTTGTCCCATTTTAACAGAAGTAAATGGTGGGAGGGAGGGGTACCTTTCTTTGAACTCAGAGAAGGCTGTGAGGGCCAGTGGGTGTCTGGCAGGGGGCGGAGACTTAGGTGAGGGTGACTTGGGTTGGTGCCCTGGGCAGGAATGCTAAGGGGTAATCTCCCACACCCACTGTGCAGCCAGTTACCTGGACGGAGTGCAGCAGAGGGTGAGCCATCTGTCAGCCCTGTAGCCACTTGGCATGGCATGGGGCCCTGGGCTGCTGGGGCCTTCCCTCCTAATACCCGCCTTGTCCCCAGGTCCTCTGCCATCCGCAGGTCAGGTAGCACCAGCCCCCTGGGCTTTGCACGGGCTAGCCCTTCACCCCCTGCCCACGCTGAGCATGGAGGCGTCCTGGCCAGGAAGATGTCCCTGGGTGGAGGTCGGCCCTACACGCCATCCCCTCAAGGTGCGCCTGCAGGCGGGGGCCTTGGAAGGGGCGTCTGTGGGTGGTGGGGGAGGAGGCACGCTGTCTCTGTCCCAGCTTGACTCTAGCAGATGTCTCTCTTCCCCAAGTTGGAACCATCCCTGAGCGGCCAGGCTGGAGTGGGACACCCTCCCCACAGGGAGCGGAGATGCGTGGTGGCAGGTCCCCTCGTCCAGGTAGGTGCAGTCTGGAGGTGTGGGGTGGGCAGGGGGTGGTGGTGGGGAGGCCAGGCCTCCCTTGCTCGGGTGGTTGTCCTGGTCTAAAGTCCTTGCTTTTTCCGAGTAGAAAGGAGTGGGAAGGAGGCTCATGGAACAGAAGCCAGCTGCCTCTCCAGCTCCTGGCTGTGCGAGCTGGGCAGGTTGCTCGGCCCCTCTGTGCCAGTCTACTCTGCTGGCTGGGGGTCAGGTTTAACAGTGGGCTTTGGAGCTCGGCCACCCCAAGGGGCCTCTGTGTAACAGCAAAGGGATTGTCCAGGGCTGGGTCCCTAGGCTGGGAGTTGGAGGCAGTGACAAGGCCTGTCTGTCTCTAGGCTCCTCTGCGCCCGAGCACTCCACCCGCACTTCCGGGCTGGGCTGCCGCCTGCACAGCGCCCCCAACCTGTCCGACCTGCACGTTGTCCGCCCCAAGCTGCCCAAACCCCCCACGGACCCCCTGGGAGCCGTGTTCAGCCCTCCACAGGCCAGCCCTCCCCAGCCGTCCCACGGGCCACAGTCCTGCCGGAACCTGCGGGGCTCACCCAAGCTGCCTGACTTCCTGCAGCGAAACCCTCTGCCCCCCATCCTGGGTTCCCCCACCAAGGTAACAGGCACTGCCATGTGTGCAGGGGCACAGAGCCCTGGGGAAGAGATGGGTGAGGGTGGCCAGTCCTGAACAAAGACCAAGGAAGGCAGCTGTGCCTTTGACCCCCGCCTGGGCTCGCGCTCAGGCCACTCCCACGTGCCTTGCAGACGCGGCTGCCTCCCCCAGGCACTGGGCCCGGGGCTTCGGATGTGTTAGGGGTCACCCCACCTCTGTCCTCCCAGGCTGTGCCCTCCTTCGACTTCCCAAAGACTCCCAGCTCCCAGAACCTGCTGGCCCTCCTAGCCCGGCAGGGCGTGGTCATGACGCCCCCTCGAAACCGGACGCTGCCCGACCTCTCTGACGTGGGACCTTTCCATGGTCAGCCGCTGGGTCCTGGCCTGCGGCCAGGCGAGGACCCCAAGGGTCCCTTTGGCCGGTGAGTTGGGGAGATAGGCCTTGGACGGGCTTCGGATGCACTGCCCCCATCCCCCTGCATTGTCCTGCTGTCTACTTCTGGGGGATGGAACAGGAAACGCCTGGTCCCCACCCTCCTGTGGGTACCCAGTGTGGCTGGGTGCCAGAGAGCTTGGCCCACCTGTGGCTGGGCCTAGGCCCCCAGCAGGCTCCATCCTGAGCCTCAGCATCCCTGCCTGTAAGCCTAGGTGACCGGAGTGGCTGCCTCCCGAGGTGGCTAGGGGCCGGTGCATCATGTGTCTGGCCTGCAGAGGGTCCCCTCAAGGTCCAGTTAGGGTGGGCCGGGCCTGGCCTCCAGCGTGGCCCCATACCCTCCCACAGGTCTTTCAGCACCAGCCGCCTCACCGACCTGCTCCTGAAGGCGGCATTTGGGACACAAGCGCCGGACCCTGGCAGCACAGAGAGCCTGCAGGAGAAGCCCATGGAGATTGGTGTGTGGGCGAGGCTCGTGGGCTGTGGGGGGAGGGGCATCCAGGACGCTCCTGAGACCCTCCTTGCTCTCTCAGCACCCTCAGCTGGCTTTGGAGGGAGCCTGCACCCAGGAGCCCGTGCTGGGGGTGCCAGCAGCCCCGCCCCGGTAGTTTTCACCGTGGGCTCTCCCCCGAGCGGGAGCACACCGCCCCAGGCACCCCGCACCAGGATGTTCTCGGGTGAGCGCTGGCTGAGCTGAGGCCCTGTCCCTTTTGGGGTGGTGGCAGCACCCTAGGGGAGGAGGGTGTCAACTTGGGTCTCTGGACTGTGGTCCTCCCACACCAGAGCCTAGGGGTGTCTGAGGAAGCAGCTCAGGCCTCTGAGAAACCCACTCTGTGTTTCCCATATGCAAAATGGACGTGGTTTTGGTACCCCCCCCTCAGGCCTCCCCTGCCCCTCAACCTGTGAGTGAAAGGTGCTCATTGCCACTTACCCCAAAACAAGCTGAGCAGGGATGGTGTCTGGATGGTGGGCTATGCTGTGTTTGTCAGGAGTCGCCCTGATGGGCACAGGCCACACAGACAGGTGTGCCCTCGTTTCCCCAGCCAATGGTGTTGCGGAGCTCTGGGCCTGGGGCCTGGCTGGGTTCCCATCTGTCTGGGGAGGGATGGGCTTGTGGGGGTTTGATCCTAGCCAGAGGCTGCCATCGCTGGGGTTACCTCCCAGCACCATAATGAGGGTGGGGGCTGCCTTTCCTTTTGAGGTCCGTTCGGCTCTTAGGCCCACCTGTGGGGCACAGTAGCACACCAGGCCACCCACCTACCCCATCCCAGACGGTGGCAGCTGCTTTCCTCCAGGCAGATCTGCACTGGGGGTTGGGATACCCAGAGGGTCCCTTGATGGGCACTGCAGCCCTTGGCCTGAGGTGGGCTGGGGACCTGGGGGCTGTGGTAAGTGGCTAGAGGTTGAGCAGGGGCTCTGAGAGCCTGCTGTGCTTCTCCTGTTAGAGCTGAGCCTGGGGGCACGTGGGCTGTGGTGTCTGCTTGCCCTGACTTGCCCTCCCCCTCACTGCCTCCTCCCTGCAGTGGGTTCGGCTGGCTCCTCTGCCCGCCACCTGGGGCCTGGAGCCTGCAGTGAGGCCCCAGGCCCAGAGCTCTCTGCTCCAGGACATGGCTGCAGCTTTGCTGACCCCATTGCTGCCAACCTGGAGGGGGGTGTGACCTTCGAGGCCCCCGACCTACCTGAGGAGACCCTCATGGAGGTGAGGGCGGGAGTGAGCAGAGGTTTCCATTCTGGCGCGAGGGTGTGCGGGGCCTTGCAGTCCCAGGGGTGTTGGGTGTGGTCCATGCCAGCTGCCCAGGCGGCAGCAGCGGAGGGGACCTTGCCCTGCCCCCCTCCCCAGCGGGGCAGCGTGTGCCAGGCTGACAGCCCCTTCCCACAGCAAGAGCACACGGAGATCCTGCACGGCCTGCGCTTCACGCTGCTCTTCGTGCAGCACGTCTTGGAGATCGCAGCCCTGAAGGGCAGTGCCAGTGAGGCAGCCGGGGGCCCCGAGTACCAGCTGCAGGAGAGCGTGGTGGCCGACCAGATAAGCCTGCTGAGCCGAGAATGGGGGTGGGTGCTGGTGGGTGCTGGCGGGGCAGGGCGGGTGATGGCCTGGGGGCTGGGACCAGCCTGCCTCCTTTGATCTGCCTGCTGCCCCCAGATTTGCAGAGCAGTTGGTGCTGTACCTGAAGGTGGCCGAGCTGCTGTCCTCTGGTCTGCAGACTGCCATCGACCAGATCCGGGCCGGGAAGCTCTGCCTGTCGTCCACTGTGAAGCAGGGTGAGGACCGTCCACACTCGCCCACATGGCAGGTTGGGGAGGAAGCCAAGCAACGGTCTGGAGACAGGGTGACACGGAGGCCGCTCAAGCAGGCCCTGGCCGGGTGGGCAGCAGTCAGAAAGGGTGGTGCAAGGCCTTGGGGCCTGGTCCAGCATGCAAAGCATAGAGGCCATGGGGTCCGACGGCATCCAGGACAAGGTGCTGAGCCAGGCCGCAGGAAGCCAGGGCTGTGGCAGGAAGGGAGGGAGGTGCCCGCTGGGTACACGCGGCAGATGGTGACCACAGCAGGCCTGCCCGGTGTCTGCTGCAGCCTGAGCTGACCGCCCTTGTCCTCCGCAGTGGTGCGCAGGCTGAACGAGCTGTACAAGGCCAGCGTGCTGTCCTGCCAGGGCCTGAGCCTGCGACTGCAGCGCTTCTTCCTTGACAAGCAGCGGCTCCTGGACCGCATCCACAGCATCACTGCGGAGAGGCTCATCTTCAGCCACGCCGTGCAGATGGTATGGGACGGGCAGACCCAGCGGGGCACGGGCTGGAACTTCAGGCCAGCTGCCTCCACTGGGAGGGGACGTTGATGCCCACAGTTTGGTGAGACTTTGGGGGAGTCATTTCTGGAGGTCTCTGGAAGTGACAGCACGATGCCCCCAGCAGGCGCTCAGAGCTCGTGCTGCGTGCTCGCACATGTGCCACGACCCATGTGCATCCTGCTATGCCTCGCCCTGAGACTCAGTTTCCCCAAGTGTAAAATGAGAGACTTGGTCTTCAGGCCTTGCAGTCAGGAGTCCGTCTCCAGCAGCAGCGCCTGGGCCAGGATAACCTGTGTGGAAGCGTGGTGTCCTCAGGCCTCCCAGTGGCACTGCGAGCACAGGCTCCCTGCTTGGGCTCTGAGGAGCTGCCTCTGAGCTGGGCCCTTTCTTTTTATCTTGAGACAGAGTCTCTGTTGCCAGGTGGCACAATCTCAGATCACTGCAACCTCCAGCTCCCAGGTTCAAGCGATTCCCCTGCCTCAGCCTCCTGAGTAGCTGGGACTACAGGCACACGCCACCACGCCCAGCTAATTTTTATATATTTTTTAGTAGAGACGGGGTTTCAGCATGTTGACCAGGATAGTCTTGATCTCTTGACCTTGTGATCCGCCTGCCTCGGCCTCCCAAAGTGTTGAGATTACAGGCGTGAGCCCCTGTGCCCGGCCTTTGTTTTTTTTAAGAGAAGGTCTTGCTGTGCTGCCCGGACTGAGGTATAGTACAGCTGCTCTCTCCTGGGCTCAAGTGATCCCTTTGCCTCAGCCTCCCAAAATGCTGGAATCACAGGCATGAACTCGTAAGTGTCTGAGTCTCCTTTTTAAAGAAAAATAACGATGTAGTAAAGACCCAGTCTGACCACACGTGGGGAGAGTCAGCCCACCTTCTGCCGCTGCTTCCCCGCTGACCATACGTGGGGAGAGTCAGCCCACCTTCTGCCCCTGCTTCCCCGCTGACCACACGTGGGGAGAGTCAGCCCACCTTCTGCCCCTGCTTCCCCACCAGGCTGGCCAGGCAGCTGCAATAATGACACTGAGCAGCAGGCCTTGTTGTCCTGGGGTGGGGCCAGCAGTGCCAGCCAGGGTCATCTGGTTCCAGGCCCTGTGGCCAGCTCACATAGCAGGCAGCATCAGTGCCCGTGCCCCCACATGCTGCTGCCCTGAGCGCCTGTCTGCCACCCCTGGGTGCTGCTGTGAGTGCAGGGAAGCCCTTACTGGAGGGAGTGGGTGTGCTGGCCCTGTACAGCCTCTGCCCTCGCCCCTAGGTGCAGTCGGCCGCCCTGGACGAGATGTTCCAGCACCGCGAGGGCTGCGTGCCGCGCTACCACAAGGCCCTGCTGCTCCTGGAGGGGCTACAGCACATGCTCTCGGACCAGGCCGACATCGAGAACGTGGCCAAGTGTGAGTGCCGTGCCAGGCTGGGGGCTGGGGGCTCTGGGCGTCTCCCTCACGCTCCCTCTCCCTCCGCAGGCAAGCTGTGCATTGAGCGGAGACTCTCAGCGCTGCTGACCGGCGTCTGTGCCTGACCTTTCTGATCTGGCTGGGCTCTGGGTCCTGCCAAGACTTGCGGGGTGGGCTCCGTGTGCTGGCAGGACTCCTTGAGACAAGCCCATGGAAGCGATCGCTGGTGCCGAGTCCTGCCCGGGGCCCCACGGACAGTCAGCCTGCCAGACGTTCTGCAGGTCATGGGGCGAAACCAGCACGTCAGGAGCCACACAGCTTGCAGGCCCTCCCGTCTGTTGCAGGTGGGGATCACAGAACTTCTGCCCCTCCAGCTGCCTGGCACAGCAGGCACGGTTGCCACCACCCTCTAGCCCCAGGGCAGCCCCAGAGGACAGGCAAAGGGCCTGAGACCGCTGCCGACTCGAAGCCAAAGCGAGCTCCTGCTCAGGCCAGGTCAGCAGTCGCTGTGCCCAGGAAGAGCCTGCGGCCTCGGCACCCCCGTCTCCAGGAGCCTCTCCCTCCGAGACATCACCCAGCTTTGTCAGTCACCTGAGCACTTTATGCAGACACAGACAGAACCTGGACCTCCCCAGGGACTGCTGGGCAGTGATTCCTGGCAGTGGCCTGGTGTTTGTACATAACACATATGTGGACACACACGCCAGGCTGCGGAGCTGCCCAGGCCTGGACCTCAGGAGAACGGGCTCCGGGTGAGTGGGGCCGTGCGCTGGAGGGAGAGGCGCTGCTTTTCTCAGGCGCTCCTCTGGGGACCAGCAGCAGAGGCACACATTCTCTCAGCCCTGGAAACGTCTTGTCGTTTTTCACACTTTATTCCTAAAACGTGTCTTATTTTTATGCAGCTCATTTTTTCTTTAAAGGAGAAAACTTGTAGGTGTTTAAGAATTGGTTTTGGGAGGGTGAGGACTGGGTCAGGTTAGAGGCAGAGGTGCAGGGGTGTGGTGGAGGCGGGTGAGGCTGCTCTGTGCACACCTGTGTCGGTGGCTGTCCCCTGCCCTCTCCCTGTGGCAGCAGCAGGACAGGTGTGTGCCCAGCACCCTCCCCACCTGGAGCTGGGGGCAGATGAGGGAATACTTCATGCAAAGAAAAAATAAAATATGCAAAAGCGCCCGCCCAACGTCGACAGTTTTGATGTCAGCTCCTTGGCAGGGTAGGCCTGGTGACAGCCCTGTCCCTGCCTGCCTCGGCCTTGCCCAGGGCCACCGATGGTGTCCGCAGAGAGGCCTGCCTTCCGGGTTCCAGGTGGGCATGCGCTGCAAACCCCGCCTGGGCTCCCCTGGTCTGCCCAGCCCTCGGCCAGCCTTGCCTGAATCTACTTGAATGAATCCCCAGTCTGCTGGAGGCAGCGGTGGGGCTGTGGACCCACACAGGGGTTTCAGGGTCACACGCCACAGAATAGACAAAAATACACACACGTGTGTTTTTATTTGCAATACTTGAAATATTGCCACTGTGCTTGGACTTCGAAGAAGAAACCCCCGTGACTTCTTCCTCATCACCCTGATGGCTTTATTCTCACGCTGCGGGGCATGTGCATATTTATTGCTTCATGGCCGACTGGATCCCGAGTCCTGGGAAGCCGGCACTGCGGGGATCCCCCCCGGCCCCGGTCCTCTGGCTTCCATCGCGGCCGCGTGTGTGTGTGTCCGAGCAGGTTCTGGGTGCCTCGACTCAAGAACTGCCACTGGCTGTATGTCCTCCACCTGGTCGTGCTGGACCATCTGTCTATTTTACAGGAAATTTTGTGTGATTTCCTGCCCTTTGCATTATATTGTGTAATATCAATTTAAGGAAATAAACCTTTGAAATTGTTGGGCTTGTCACTGTTTTCAGGGTTTTGTCGTTTTCTTTCTCAGCTGAGGTGCAGGAGCCCAGGGCTCTCCATGGGTGCCCACAGTGGCTGGATACAGCCCCAGGGCAGAAGCTGGATGTGCTGGGGCAGTGCAGACCCTTGCACTGTGGGAAGCCCCTCCCGCCAGGTAGGGGGTCCTGAACAGGGTCAACAGGCCAGGGGGCGGGGTCAACAGGCCAGGGGGCGGGGTCAACAGGCCAGGGGGCGGGGCACCAGCTTTGGGAAGCTTTGGGCACCTTCCTTTTTTTTGGAAACAGTCTCGCTCTGTCAGGTTGGAGTGCAGAGGCACCATCTCGGCTCACTGCAACCTCTGCCTCCCTGGTTCAGGTGATTCTTCTGCCTCTGCCTTCCTAGTAGCTGGGATTACAGGTGTATACTACCATGCGCAGCTAATTTTTGTATTTTAATAGGGACGGGGTTTCACCATATTGGCCAGGCTGGTCTTCAACTCCTGACCTCGTGATCCGCCCCCTCGGCCTCCCAAGGTGCCAGGATTACAGGCACCCGCTTTGACTCTCGGGGAGCCTCAGGCCGTTGGTTCCACTGCTGCCTTGGGGCAGCTGGGCCTCCAGGGCGGTCGCCTTGTGGTTTGGATTTGCATTTCCCCAGGGGTCCTGGCGTTGAGCATCACAGGTACTTGGTGGCCATCTGTGTCTGTGGAGGAACATCTAAATCCTTTGTCCTTCTTTGTTTTGGAGACAGTCTCCCTCTGTCACCGAGGCTGGAGTGCAGTGGCACAATCTCGACTCACTGCAACTTCCACCTGTATACCTGGGTTCAAGCGATTCTCCTGCCTCAGCCTCCTGAGTAGCTGGGACTACAGGCATGCGCCACCACACCTGGCTAATTTTTTGTGTTTTTAGTAGAGACGGGGTTTCATCGTGTTAGGATGGTCTTGATCTCCTGACCTCATGATCTACCCACCTCACCTTCCCAAAGTGCTACAGGTGTGAGCCACCGCACCCAGCTAATTTTTGTATTTTTGGTAGCGGTAGGGTTTTGCCATGTTGGCCAGGATGGGCTTGATCTCCTGACCTTGTGATCCTCCCCCTCGGCCTCCTGAAGTGCTGGGATTACAGGTGTGAGCCACCGTGCCTGGCCTTCTGTTTTTTAGGTTTTTTTTTGTCTTTTTTCCGTTCGGTTTTTTTAGTTGGAAGTGGCGAGATCTCGGCTCACTGCAACCTCCACCTCCTGGGTTCAAGCAATTCTTCTGCCTCAGCCTCCCGAATAGCTTGGACTACAGGCACGCACCACTGCGCCCGGCTAGCTTTTGTAGTTTTAGTAGAGACGGTTTCACCATGTTGGCCAGGCTGGTCTTGAACTCCTGTAGGGTTTGCATTTTTTAAACTACATATTGTAACTTGCTAAAAACTGCTAACCCTAATGAGAGAAGTAAGAGAAGTGAAAGTTCACGGAGAGGCCGGTGTTCTCGGGGAAGGGGAGGTGGAGACCTTGATGTCTGAGTCCCAGGAGGGGCTGCTTCCAAACGGAGCGTCCTCAGGCAGGAGCAGCTGCCCTCAGCATTGCTGTGGAGAAGGAGCTGCCAGGCTGCGGGTGCACTGGTCCTCCTGGTTCGTCCATACATAAAGAAATGCCCAGACAGTCACTACAAACAGGGAATTCCGTTCGTGTGAACACTGTTGGAGCAGCTTTCTATCTGCAGGAAGACTGAGCAGAAAGGAGGGACACGTCTGCCCTCTCCCCGTCAGTAACACGTCACTTGTGCGGTGCCTTCGTCACTGCTACTGAACTCAGTATTCGTATCTCAGACTTTTAAAAATCATGGACACTTATAATACCACAGGTTCTGTATTGCCCCCTGAAGCCTGTAGTTCACATCTTGGGGTCACTCGGGCTTTGCAAAGGTGTCACGTCACATATCCCCCTAATGTTCTCTGGGCTCCACCTGTTCCCTTCTCCCCGCTAGCTCCGCTGCTGGCCCCTGGGCTTCCTGTCCTCATAGTTTTTCTTCTTTCAGAAGAAAACTATGTCGGAATCATACATTATGCCCACGGCCTGGGAGCTCATCCACCCCCCGCTTTTTTTTTTTTTTTTTTTTGAGACCATCTGGCTCTGTTGTCCAGGCTATAGAGAACCGGCGGGAACTCCACTCACCGCAACCTCCACCTCCCAAGGTTTAAGTGATTCTTGTGCCTCAGCCTCCTAGTAGCTGGGATTACAGGTGTGAGCCCAGCCCGGCTAATTTATGTATTTTTAGTAGAGACGCGTTTTGCCACGTTGGCTAACTTGAAAAATGCAGGAATGCAGTTACACCTGTGGACGGTACACTTTCGGGGGAAGGAGCGGGTGCGAAGGGAGGAGTCATCTATAGAGTGGGTCGCAGATGTGGAATGCGGTCTCCAGAGACAGATAAGGGCTGGGGAGTTAGGCTGTTTACCAGGGCAGGGGATACGGAGGTCCGGCCTTGAGAGCAGAGAGCCAAGAGCCAGGACGCTGAGCAGGTTAACCCTTCAAAGAACTCTTTATTTTTTTTGAGACTGGGTCTCACTCTGTTGCCCAGGCTGGAGTGCAATGGCAGGATCTCGGCTCACTGCAACCTCTGCCTCCTGGGTTCAAGTGATTCTTCTGCCTCAGCCTCCCGAGTAGCTGGGACTACAGGTGCGCACCACTGTGCCCAGCTAATTTTTCTATTTTTAGTAGAGATGGAGTTTCAGGCTGGGTGCGGTGGCTCACACCTGTACTCCCAGCACTTTGGGAGGCTGATGCGGCCAGCCTGACCAACACGGTGAAACCCCGTCTCTACTCAAAATACAAAATTAGCTGGGCACGGTGGTGTGCGCCTGTAATCCCAGCTACTTGGGAGGGTGAGGCAGGAGAATTGCTTGAACCCAGGAGGCAGAGGTTGTGGTGAGCTGAGATTGCGCCACTGCACTCCAGCCTTGGCAACAAGAGTGAAACTTTACCTCAAAAAAAAAAAAACAAAAAAGAAGGTCGGACACGGTGGCTCATGCCTGTAATCCCAGCACCTTGGGAGGCCGAGGCAGGTGGATAACAAGGTCAAGAGATCGAGACCATCCTGGTCAACAAGGTGAAACCCCATCTCTACTAAAAATACAAAAACTAGCTGGGCATGGTGGTGCGCGCCTGTAGTCCCAGCTACTTGGGAGGCTTAGGCAGGAGAATTGCTTGAACCCAGGAGGCGGAGGTTGCGGTGAGCCGAGATTATACCATTGCACTCCACTCTGGGTAACAACAGTGAAACTCCATCTCCAAAAAAAACAAAAAAACAAAAAAGATGAGGTTTCACCATATTGGCCAGGCTGGTCTCAAACTTCTGATCTCATGATCTGCCTGCCTCAGCCTCCCAAAGTGCTGGGATTACAGAGGCGAGCCACCAGGCCTGGACAGAGCTGTTTTTATATCTAAGAGCCAGGTTGGTCTCAAACTCTTGGCCTCAAGTGATCTGTCCACAGCCTCCCAAAGTGTTGGGATTACGGGCGTGAGCACCATGCTGGGCCTCATTTCTTTTTAGGGCTGAATAGTATCCCATTGTCTGGAGGTACCACAGGTTTTCCATTCACCTGCCCACATCTTGGTGGCTTCTGCGTTTGTGGACAGTGGAGAATGAAGCTGCTGTATAGTCTGTGTGCTGGAGCCAGGTGGCGAGGGTGGGCCCAGGGGACGAGCTGGCAGAGCGGGAGGGACTTCACTCCTGCCTGCACACACCGGCCACGTGGGTGCAGGGCTCCCAGCCAGGGGACCAGGCCATGGTGCCTGCACTGCGACAGAGCTGTGCCCCCCTGGGTGCCTGTCCAAACCCCCAGCCTCAGTTTACTCTCAGAGACCCGGGATGCAAGCTTGACCAGCAGGGTGTATGGGAGCAGGGAACAGCCGTGGTCGGTAGGGGCCTCCATGTGTTACTCCTCCTTGTGGGGGCAGATGAAGACCTTCCCTCACTCCTGGAGCCCGGGTGGTGGACGGGCGCTCTCCTGGGGGGCCATTCAGCATAGGCGAGCCACCCTCCCACCTGGACAACTGCATCACCCTCCAGCCTCCTCTTCCTGCCTCGGCCACCAGCTCCTTACAAGACCTGCGCAGCCCACTGAGCGCCCCTTAGGAAGGGGTGTCAGATCGGGTTCCCGGCGTTCCCATCTCAGAGCCAACGCCAAGTCGTCGATGGCCCACGAGGCCCCACACGACCCGGCCCCCTACTCCTCAGTCCTCTTTTCCGATCAGTCCCTCTTATCCCCTGTGGCTTCTCTACCTGCAGACTTTAGGTGGGCACAGCGCCCAGGCCCCGAATTGGAGCTTGTGGTTGGCTGAATCGTGGCCGTAGAGATAGCACTAAGGATTCTGAGATTATGCCAGATTATGTGGGCGGGCCCAGGGTCATATGAGTTCGTCTCAGGGAAAGCGGGAGAAAGGAGGGGAAGCGTGGGAGAGGAGGCGAGGAAGCGGCGGGGCGGCGGCCACGCCTGGAATCCCAGCGCTTCGGGAGGAGAGGCGGGCGGACCGCTCGGGCTCAGCAGTTCGAGATCTGCCCGGGCATCCCAGTGAGCCGGTCTCTAAAAAAGAGAGAGAGAGAGAGAGAGAGTGAGAGAGAGAGAGTGAGAGAGAGAGAGAGAGAGAGAGAGAGAGAGAGAGAGTGAGAGAGAGAGAGAGAGAGAGGCCACTTTTCAGGAGACCGCATTTCTCCAGAAAATAAGAAGAAATTAGCCGGGCGTGGTGGCGCGCGCCTGCGGGGACCGCTGGAGGCCGCGGGGAGCGGTGACCCCTCCACTGCGCGCCGGCCTGGGAACGGGGACGGGGCCCGGGGCTGGGGCCACACGACGGCCGCACAGGGCGGGCGCCACAGAGGGTCTGGGGCCGAGCCCGTGGGAAGGGACCGGGCAGCGTGGCCGAATGCCGGAGGGCCTGGTGGCCCCGCCTCCAACACCGCAATTCCCGCCCCCTGCCCCGCCCCGGCACCCAATCCCCGCCCGGAACGCCCCAGTCCCCACCCCCGTCCCGCCTCTTTTCCCTACGAATTGTCCGCGCTCGGCCGCCGTCCAGCCGCCTGCTCCACTTCCGCCTTCGCCCACGTGGTCCGGCTGCGGCTCGGTCCGCCGCGTCGTGAGTGGGGTCCGGCCCGGGGCGCGCCTCTGTGGTTCCGATGCGGGTGGCCCGGGCCTCCTCGACTCCCGAGGAAAGCCCACCAGGCGGGGCGGGAGGTGAAGGGACTGGGGACGTCAGAGGTTAACCTGGGCGTCAGGGGGCGTCGGAGTGGAGCCGTGGGGGTCCCGGGGCGGTCTAGGACAGCAGGGCCAGGGCTTGGGCGCGGGGGCCGAGAGGTCAGGGGTCAGCAGGAACGGGGCTCCGGCGCCAGGGTCACCAAGTTCGCGGTCTGCAGAGGTGGGGCCGGGCCGGGGCCCTCGTAGCCTGCGCATGGGCCTCCCGCTGCGCGCGCTGTTGGGAGCCTGCAGACTGTGGACCCTGCGCCTGGGACCGCGTGCCCCCTGGTAATGACCGCGGCGCCGGGCGACCCCGCCACGCCAGCCCAGCCCACCCTGCGCGGTGCCTGCCGGGCCCCCACCCACGCTGCCCCTCTCCGCAGCTCGCCGCGCATGGCCGGGAACGCGGAGCTGCCCTCTCCCGCCGGGTCTGCGCGCCCCCAGGACCGGAGGTCCCGTAGCGGCCGGGCCGGGGGCGTCCGCGTCTGGGAGGACGGGGAGCATCCGGCGAAGAAGCTCAAGAGCGGCGGGGACGAGGAGCGGCGCGGGAAGCTGCCCAAGCGCAAGGTCGTGCTGCTCATGGCCTACTCGGGCAAGGGCTACCACGGCATGCAGGTGCGGCCGCCCGGGAAGCGGCGGGTCCCGCGGGGTGTCATTGGTCCTGCTGCGCGCGAGCTCCTTCCGTCGGGTCCGGCCCTGCCGCTAACCACTGTGGTCTGGCGCGGGGTTCCCTGGCTGTGTGCCTTGGTCCTCATCTCTGGGATGCGAGTGCTCACAGCACCTGCTAATCAGGCTGTGAAGATGAGCTGGGCTCGGTGCTCGGTGCCCGGTGCCCGGTGCCCGGTGCTCGGTGCTCGGTGCTCGGTGCTGGAGCTCAGAAGAGCCTGCTCTCATGTAGTGAGGGGACAGAGCTGAGTCAGCTTGTGAGGGCTCTCTACTCAGCCCACCTCGTTTTCTGGAAGGGAGAGGGCGTGGGTGCATTCAGGTAGACCGTTTTTTTGTTTCTTTGTTTCTTAATTTTTTGAGACGGAGTCTGGCTCTGTCGCCCAGGCTGGACTGTAATGGCGCGATGTCGGCTCACTCCAACCTCCCCTCCTGGATTCAAGTGATTCTCCTGCCTCAGCCTCCCAAGCAGCTGGGACTACAGGTGTGCACCACCACACCCAGCTAATTTTTGTATTTTTAGTAGAGACGGGTTTCAACATATTGTCCAGGCTGGTCTCGAACTCCTGACCTCATGATCCACCTGCCTCGGCCTTCCAAGGTACTGGGATTACAGGCATGAGCCACCACGCCTGGCTATGTTTTTTCTTTTTGAGGCAAGGTCTCCCCTTGTGGCTCTGGCTGGAGTGCAGTGATGCATGCATGGCTTGCTGCAGTCTCCACCTCCTGGGCTCAAGGGATCCTCCCACCTCAGCCTCCTGAGTAGCTAGGACTGTAAGTAAGTGCTCGACCCCACAGCCTGGCGAATTTTTAAATTATTTATAGGAATGGGGTCTTGCTGCGTTGCACAGGCTGGTCTCGAACTCCTGGGCTCAAGCGATCCTCCTGCCTCGGCCTCCCAATGTTGTGATGACAGGTGTGAGCCACTGCGTCTGGCCTCAGGTAGACATTCCTTTTGTTTGTTGTCGTTAAGGCTATGGCTTTGCCTTTGGTTCTGTGTTCTTTAAACGTCTTTAAGCATATCTACAGTAAGCAGTCCATGCAATGCACACAGTGACTGAAACAAAAGATTAAGAAAATAATGCTTAACTCCGCAGTTCTAACAGCTTTTATGGTGAAAGTTGTAAGTAATGGATTACTTTTTCTTCCCTTTGGAGACAGAGCTTTGCTCTGTCGCCCAGGCTGGAGTGCAGTGGTGGGAATCTCGGCTCACTGCAACCTCTGCCTCCCGGGTTCCACTGATTCTTGTGCCTCAGCTTCCCAAGTAGCCAGGACTGCTTGGTGCCCACTACCGTACCTGACTGATTTTTGCATTTTTAGTAGAGATGGGGTTTAACCTTATTGGTCAGGCTGGCCTTGAACTCCTGACCTCAGGTGTGCCTCCTGCCTCAGTTTCCCAAAGTTCTGGAATTACAGGCGTGAGCTGACCAGCCCAGCCAACCATCGTGCACTGCAACCTCTGCCTCCCAGATTCAAGCAATTCTGCCCCAGTCTCTTGAATAGCTGGGATTAAAAGTGCACTGCCATGCCCACCTAATTTTTTTTTTTTTTTGAGACGGAGTCTCCCTCTGTCACCCAGGCTGGAGTGCAGTGGTGCACTGTCTTATCACTGCACCCTCTCATTCCCAGGTTCAAGCAATTCTCCTGCCTCAGGTGCCTGCCACCACACCTTGCTAATTTATTTTATTTTATTTTTGAGACGGAGTCTTGCTCTGTTGCCCAGGCTGGAGTGCAGTGGCACGATCTTGGCTCACTGCAAACTCTGCCACCCTGATTCAAGTGATTCTCATGCCTCAGCCTCCTAAGTAGCTGGGATTACAAGAATGCACCACTGTAGGGCTGAGGGCCCCACAGGGTCTTGGGGTGTCCTTTATGCTGTGCTGAGGTGCAGGATCCAGAAAATAAAGGGACAGGACACAGAAGTACAAGGAAAACGCAGCTGGGCTCGGGGGGCCACGCCACCTATGAGGGAGTCAGGCGAGGCCCCGAATGTCCAGAAGCATGAGTATTTGTTGTGTATAGGTTGGGGGGCAGGGCAGTGAGTGAAATCATCTTTAAGGATAGTGATAGGGTCGTGAGCAATAAAACATGGGGTCCGCCCTCATTAGGTCACCTAGGCCAGGAGGTGGACAGTGTGCAGCAAGGGGTCCACCCCCATTAGGTCATCGAGGCAAGGGCCGTGTGCAGTAAGGGGTCCACCCCCATTAGGTCATTGAGGTAAGGGCCGTGTGCAGTAAGGGGTCCACCCCCATTAGGTCATCGAGGCAAGGGCCGTGTGCAGTAAGGGGTCCACCCCCATTAGGTCATCGAGGCAAGGGCCGTATGCAGTAAGGGGTCCACCCCCATTTGGTCACTGAGGCTTGAAGGTGGACCATGTGCAGTGAAGAAGGTACACTGTGGGATACCTCTATCTATGGGAAACCACTTCTAAGATTTATGGGGGGGATGCTTTAAGTCACACAGCAGTGACAGAGCTGTCAGGGTTACCGCCACCTGCTGGTTCTATAGGAAGATGCTTTTCGAGCAGCACAGTAGCAAGAGCTGATAGAGTTCACAGTCACAAGGTGGATTGCCGGTCTGAGGGCGGCCTTCCACAGGAACTGGAGCAAGGTCCTACAACTCCTTTATCAGGAGGAGGGGCTCTCACCCCAAGCCCGCCATACAGCGGGTGTCTTTACGATACTGAACGCTGCTGCCTGGGCCATGGATTCCTGTCCTGGTATAACTGTTTTCCCTTAAATCATGCTCTGCACTGTGTCTGCTCTAGGCATTCCTCCGATTATAAGCTGCTTATTCCTTAATTCATGCTCTGCACTGTGCTCTAGGCATTCTTCCGACTATGAACTAAGGTATAGTTATATATGAAAGGAAATAACTGAGTAGTAACACTATAAACTGACATATTCTTCAGGCCTTAATTATGCCAGGATTCTGCTTAGCTCTCCCTCCTCAGTACCTATATGGGGGTTACCCACACACCGCCACGCCCGGCTAATTTTTGTATTTTTAGGACAGATGGGGTTTCACCATGTTGGTGAGGCCGGTCTCGAACTCCTGACCTCCTGATCTGCTCTCCTTGGCCTCCCAAAATGCTGGGATTACAGGCATGAGCCGCCGTGCCTGGCCATTAATTTTTGTATTTTTAGTAGAGACAGGGTTTTGCCATGTTGGCCAGGCTGGTCTTGAACTCCTGACCTCAAGTGATCCACCCACCTCGGCCTCCCAAAGTGCTGGGATTGCAGGTATGAGCCACCGCGCCCGGCCATGGATTACTTTACATCCGATTTTATTTTTTACAGTATAGGTAGCGTCCATGACACTGATTTTTTTTTCTTTTTTTGCTTTGGCACAGATTTCTTAACTGACAGGCGGTAGAAGTAGGTGTGTGCACAGGTTCAGTCAAACCTGTGTTTTGATTTCTTTCCACGCCACCCATCCCCTAGCGTGGAGCAGCCTGGGTCCAGGGCGAGTGAGCAGAAAACAGTGTTTTCACACGACTGCGGCAGCTCACACTTGTCATTGCAGCGCTTCAGGAGGCCAGAGGAGCGCTTGAGGCCAGGAGTTTGAGACCAGCCTGGGCAACATGCCAAGGCCCCCTTTCCGCAAAATATGAAACCTGTTTTTGTCTCCTTTTTCCAGAGGAATGTTGGGTCCTCACAATTCAAAACAATTGAAGATGACTTGGTGTCTGCCCTCGTCCGGTCGGGCTGTATCCCTGAAAATCATGGCGAGGACATGCGGAAAATGTCCTTTCAGCGCTGCGCCCGGACTGACAAGGTGGGTGGCGCCTTCTCCGCCCCTCCCCTGTGGGTAGGAGCAGCGCCCGGCCCACTTCCTGGCCCAGCCTCTTGGTTTGTTAGGCCCCTTCTGAGCACGCATGAGGCACAAATGAGACCAGCCCATGCCTCCTGTGGGTGAGCCGTCCTGGAGCCTGGCCAGCGCGGGTATCGCTGACCTGGGTGCTCCCTGCCAGCAGGGCTTTGTGTGGTCTTTGCTTCCTCTTGTGTTGTCTGTGTTCTCAGGGACACACACGTGCCTGCAGGTGGTACAGTTGTGGCCGCAGCATCTGCCGTCGACCCTCCAGTCAGGCTCACTCCGAGGCACATGTGACCATGTGCTGCAGGGTGGAGAGTCACACTTACACGATGCAACGTTCTCGTTTCTTTTTAGTTTTTAGAGTCAGGGAGGGTCTCATTCTGTTGCCCAGGCCGGAGTGCAGTGGCACGATCACGGCTCACTGCAGCCTCGAACTCCTGGTCTCAAGCTGTTCTGCCTCAGCCGCCTGAGTAGCTGGGTGTCTGTCTCTTCACTGCTGTAAAGAACTGGCTGAGATTGGTCAATTTATAAAGAAAAGAGGTTTCTGCCACGGACAGTGCTCATACCTGTAATCCCTGCACTTTGGGAGGCGGAGGTGGGTGGATCATGAGGTCAGGAGTTCAAGACTAGACTGGCCACTTTGGTGAGACCCCGTCTTTACTAGAAAATACAAAAATTAGCTGGGCATGGTGGCTTGTGCCTGTAATCTCAGCTACTTGGGAGGCTGAGGTAGGAGAATTGCTTGAACAGAACCCGGGAAGTGGAGGTTACAGTGAGCCAAGATCAGGCCACCGCACTCCAGCCTGGGCTACAGAGTGAGACTCCATCTCAAAAAATAAATAAATAAAAGAATCGTGGTTTCATTGACTCAGTTCTGCGGGCTGAGGAGGCCTCAGGAAACTGATGGTCAGGGTGGCAGGCGAGAGGGTAAGGAGGGTAGCGGGAAGAGCCCCTTATCAAGCCGTCTCACTATCACGAGGGCAGCGTGGGTGAGCCGCCCCCACCATCCAGTCACCTCCCAGCAGCTCTTGCCCTAGACACATGGGAGTCACCATTCAGCAGGAGGTTTGGGCGGGGACACAGCAAAACCGGATCACTGCCACTGCAGGCACTGCACCATGCCTGGCTAATTTGTTTTTTTGTTTTTGAAGATGGCGTCTTGCTAGGTCGAGCAGGGGTCTCAAACTCCTGGGCTCCAGTGATCTTCCCACTGGAAGTCCCGAAGTGCAGGGAGGCACAGGCATGAACCACCATGTTTGGCTTGAGATAAATTAACGGTTTCCTCTGTTATAAACTCAGCATGTGAGGATAGCCTCGTTTCAGTGCGTGATCAACAAGACTCTGTTCGTGGGGTCTGTGGGGTACTGTCTGCGTGTGCCGAGTCCACACCCGTCATGTCTCCACCACCCTGGCCCTGCTACATGGTCTCAGCAGCCCGGGCTGGTGACCCAGCACCGTCCGTTCGGAAGCACAAGGCTGAGTACCCGTGTCAGCAGCCCGGGCTGGTGACCCAGCACCGTCCGTTCGGAAGCACAAGGCTGAGTACCCATGTCAGCTGCTCGGGCTGGTGACCCAGCACCGTCCGTTCGGAAGCACAAGGCTGAGTACCCGTTTCAGCAGCCTGGGCTGGTGACCCAGCACCGTCCGTTCGGAAGCACAAGGCTGAGTACCCGTGTCAGCTGCTCGGGCTGGTGACCCAGCACCGTCCGTTCGGAAGCACAAGGCTGAGTACCCGTTTCAGCAGCCTGGGCTGGTGACCCAGCACTGTCCGTTCGGAAGCACAAGGCTGAGTACCCGTTTCTGGTTGGTTTTTGCACCCACCCTGGACGCTGCTGCTGGTCTGTGACGCCACATTCCTGTGCTTGGGGCTGAACCATGGGATGGGCTGTGGGCAGTGGCTTGCCGCAGTGGCGCTGTCTCTGAGGAGGACCCAGCGTTGGGCAGACAGGGACAGCAGAGCCTGAGCGAACAGGTGGCTTTTTTGTTTGTCTGCTTGTCTGTTTTGAGACGGAGTCTCACTCTTGAGCAGGCTAGAGTGCGATGGCACCATCTCGGCTCACTGCAACCTCAGCCTCCTGGGTTCAAGTGATTCTCCTGCCTCACTCAGCGTCCCGAGTAGCTGGGATTATATGCACCTGCCACCATGCCCAGCTAACCTTTGTATTTTTAGTAGAGTTGGGGTTTCACCAGGTTGGCCAGGCTCGTCTCGAACTGCTGACCTTGGGTGATCCGCCCGTCTTGGCCTCCCAAAGTGCTGGGATTACAGGTGTGAGCCACCGCACCTGGCAACAGGTAGCTTCTCTGTAGCACATAGCAGGCATCAGCGAATGTGATTCCTTCATCCTTGTTCTCCCGAGTGCCTGGCCCTGTCACACAGCCCTCTTGCCACCTGAGGGGACTAGGGTTCTATCAGAGGCCTCACTTGTTACAGCTCAGGGTCCCCCGGGAATCCGAATGAAGCTATGGCTCTAGTTCCCACAGTTGCCTAATTTCAAGAGCACACGGATCCCTGGCGAATCCAGGGGCCTGTACTGGAGCCACCATCCAGAGGGGAGAACAGAGAGAGACCACACGTTCACCTTTAGAAGCTGGCACGTGTGGCAACACATGCCACGTGGTCCATGATGCCACACTCCTGTTTCACTTCCAGGAGGTGGTGGTGACGCGTTTGACGGCTCCAGGTGGAGAGGTCTGTGGGGCTTGCCCACCAGTTTCATTTTCCCAGTTCTTCCCTTTACAGCTCTCTGGCTGTTTTCAGGGAAGAAGAAAAGTAACAATTTGTCCGAGCCGATGAAGAGAGCAGTTCAAAATCGGGTCCTTGCATCTATTTTAATTTCTGCTGTTATTCCAGAGCTGGTGTCCTTCTGAGAAGTTTTCTCACTCACAGCTCGAAACCCTGCAGGAGGAGACCCGTGAGGTTGGCATGGTCACACCTGAGTGCCCTGCCCTTCAGATGGAAAAACAGCAACATTTAAACATTTTTGTTATTTCTTTGTGTGTATTTTTGCCGTCTGACATTTTGTTAGTTTTGTTTTAGATTTTAAAAATAGCTTTGTTGAAATATACTTCACTCTTGGCCAGATGCGGTGGCTCATGCCCGTAATCGCAGCACTTTGGGAGGCTGAGGCGGGCGGATCACCTGAGGTCAGATCAGGACCAGCCTGGCAAACATGGTGAAACACCATCTCTACTAAAAATACAAAAATTAGCTGCACGTGGTGGCTCGCGCCTGTAGTCCCAGCTACTTGAGAGGCTGAGGCAGGAGAATCATTTGAGCACAAGAGGTAGAGGTTGCATTGAGCCCAGATGGCGCCATTGCACTCCAGCCTGGGCAACAAGAGTGAAACTCCGTCTCAAAAAAAAAAAGTGCAGTTCAGGTTGAGTGTGGTGGCTCGTGACTGTAATCTCAGCACTTTGGGAGACCAAAGTGGACGCATTACTTGAGGCCAGGAGTTCAAGACCAGCCTGGCTAACATGGCAAAACCTCCTCTCTACCAAAAATACAAAAATTAGCCAGGCATGGTGGCAAACACCTATAATCCCAGCTACTTGGGAGACGGAGGCACAAGAGTCTTGAACACGGGAGGTCGAGGTTGCAGTGATCGAGATCACGCCACTGCACTCCAGCCTGGAAAAAGGAAGGAAGTATCCAGTTGAGTGGATCCAGTATGTTCACAGAGCTGCGCACCCACCACCACAGCCGGCCATAGGACAGAGGACATCCCGGGGTGTCTCCGATAGTCTCACTTCAGCCTGTCAGTACAGAGTGGTTGGCAGTGGGGTGTATTTTCTTTCCCTTCTTTGGTGCTCAGTCTCTGGAATGTGTTGGAGATTTTCCCTGAAGTCACCTTGTTTCCCACAGTCACGTTCCAGGCTCGGATCTGGCCAATGGAACATCTCGGCAGTTTATTTCACTCTCTCTAACTTTTTGTTTTGAAAATTTCATACCTAGCCGGGCACCGTGGCTCACGCCTATAATCCCAGCACTTTGGGAGGCCGAGGCGGGTGGATCACAAGGTCAAGAGATCGAGACCATCCTGGTCAACATGGTGAAACCCCGTCTCTACTAAAAATACAAAAAATTAGCTGGGCATGGTGGTGCGTGCCTGTAATCCCAGCTACTCAGGAGGCTGAGGCAGGAGAATTGCCTGAACCCGGGAGGCGGAGGTTGCGGTGAGCCGAGATCACACCATTGCACTCCAGCCTGGGTAACAAGAGTGAAACTCCGTCTCAAAAAAACAAAAACAAAAAAAAAGAAAATTTCATACCTTCATAAAAGTCTTAAGAATAATGCCATGAGCACCCACATGGTCCCCCATATTCACCAAGGTTAGGTTTTTTCCATATTGTCATAGTTGGTTTTTTTTCTTTTTTTCTTTTATCTTTCCTCTTTTTTGAGACAGGGTCTTGCTCTGTTGCCCAGCCTGGTCTTGAACTCCCGGGCTCAAGCAGTCTTCCCACCTTAGCCTCCCACCGTACTGGAATTAAGAGTGAGAGCTGCTGCACCTGGCCTTTTGTTTCTTCAAATGGAAGCATGTGAGAGTAAGTTGCAGACATCATCAGCCTTTACGCTGTGACACGTTAGCGTCAGTCTCCTGGGGACGGTGCCATCCTCCAGCAGCCTCACACTGTGAATTATCACCCTTGCGAAATCCAGCATTCGTAGAATCCCATCGTCCAGCGTGCTGTCCAAAGGAGGAAACGGCCTTTTTCAGCTCCTTTGACATGGTACGCCTTTTGTTTCTGTTAACTGATCTGGGATCTAACCTAGGATCATTTTTGACATTCAGTTGTCATGTCTCTTGAGCTTCCTTTACTCGAAAATGATCCCCTTGGCCAGGCACGTTTGCTCACGCCTGTAATCCCAGCACTTTATGAGGCTGAGGCAGGAGGATCCCCTGAGGCCAGGAATTCGAGACCAGTCTGGTCAACACGGCAAGATGCTGTCTCTAGAAAAAGTTAAAGATTAGCCAGGCATCATGGTGCCCGCCTGTGGTCCCAGCTAGGTGAGAGGAGGCTGAGGTGGGAGGATTGTGGAACCCGGGAGGTAGAGGCTGCAGTCAGTTACCATGGCAGCAGCACGCTCCAGCCTGGGCAACAGAGTGAGACCCTGCCTCAAGATAAACCCGGAAAACGAGAATAAATAATTGCCTTGCCTCCTTTCCGTCCTTCGTGATGTGGCATTTTTGGGCAGTTAAACCGGTTCTGAAGAATGTCCTCAACCTGGATATCCCAGTTGTTCCCTGTGATTAGATGCAGATGGAAAACGTTTGTGACGGGAAGGCTGGGTGGGTCACACTGACGTCTGTTTTCTTGGCACGCATATTTAGAGGGCTCTTTAGAAACGGTGACTGAAATACATAGAAAAGTGCACGTAACATCAGCGTGAGGTAAAACAGATTAAAACACGTGATGCTAAAGTGAGCACCTGGGTCATTACCACCAAGATCCGCAAACAGGACCTGGCCAGTGTTCCGGAAGCTCCCATCCAGGCTCCCGGTCACGTCTCCTCCCTCTCCCTGGAATATACTGCCTTGTGGACTTGTATGAAAACTTGATTTAGGCTAGGTACGGTGGCTGACAGCTGTAATCCTAGCCCTTTAGAAGCCTGAGGTGGGAGGATCGCTTGAGCCTGGGCGGTCGAGGCTATAGTGAGCCAAGATGGCACCGCTGCACTCCCGCCTGGGTGACAGAGCAAAACCTTGTCTCAAAAAAACAGCCAGGTGGGAGGCTCACGCCTATAATCCCAGCACTTTGGGACGCTAGGGCGGGCGGATCACAAGGTCAGGAGTACGAGACCACCTACGTGGTATAACCCCATCTACTAAATCACACAAAAAGTTAGCTGGGCATGGTGGCAGAGGTGCAGTGAGTTGAGATCGCACGGCTGTACTCCAGCCTGGGCCACAGTGAGGCTCCGTGTCAAAAAAACAAGCAAAAAAAAAAACCAATAAAAACCTATAGAAGCTTAGTTTTAAAAAAAGTTCTGATACACAGACAGTAAAGTGTGCTGCTCTCAGGTGTAAGCTTGATCTGTTTTTTTTGTTTTTTGTTTTTTCTTTTTGCATTGGAATCTCTCTGTCTCACCCAGGCTCGATCTCGGCCCACTGCAGCCTCTGCCTTCCAGGTTCAGGCGATTCCCCCGCCTCAGCCTCCCGAGTAGCTGGGACTACAGGCATGCACCACCATGCCCGGCTAGTTTTTGTATTTTAGGAGAGACGGGGTTTTACCATGTTGGCCAGGGTGGATGGTCTCGAACTCCTGACCCTGTGATCCATGCGCCTTGGCCTCCCAAAGTGCTGGGATTATTGGGATGAGCCATCACACCCGGCCTTGATCAGTTTTTACCTTTGTACCTGCCTGTCCTCATAAGGCCCTGCCCTTTCCCCCAAGGCCTGTGCTGTTTGACTAGGTGGGGGCTTCCTCCTCACTCTGCCCGTGGTTCTAAGCTGTGTTTTCTTTGCTCCCCAATGCTTGGGAGGGGTGTGTGTGTGTATGTGTGTGTGTGTGTGCGCGCGCGCTACCTCTGCCTCCCGGGTTCAAGCGATTCCCCTGCCTCAGCCTCCCAAGTAGCTGGGACTACAGGCGTGCACCACCGTGCCCAGCTAATTTTTGTATTTTTAGTAGAGATGAGGTTTCACCATGTTGGCCAGGCTGGTTTCGATCTCTTGACCTCGTGATCCGCTGCCTCAGCCTCCCAAAGTGCTGGGATTACAGGCGTGAGGCAGCGCATCTGGGTGGGAGTCTTATCTTACGTGGGCCTTTGTTTCTGTATGCACAGAGTCATATTTATGCTCCTCATGTAATGGTTTTTCTTGGGCTTTGAATTATTTGTAATAGTTTATTTCATGCGCGTTCTTGCACTCAGTCCGTTGCTATAGAGCTGTATTCCCTCGAGATGCGTTTCTCACCGCAGGACTCGTGTGAAACGACGTAGGGGCCGTGTCCTTCTGTCTCAGAGACAGTGTGCAAGGCCCGAGGGATCTACCTTTCTCTGCAGGGTGTGTCCGCAGCTGGCCAGGTGGTCTCCCTGAAGGTGTGGCTGATTGACGGCATTCTGGAAAAGATCAACCGCCACCTTCCCTCTCACATCCGGATTCTGGGTAAGCCTTGCGGTGTAGGCGGCCGCACTCCTGGTGGGAGATGGTCTTGTAGCGACGTGCGGCTACGCGTGCCGCTGCCTTTCCTGGGTGTCTCTGGTGCAGAAGTGTCGGCAGCGTTGTTTGCAGTTGGTTCTGACCTTTAGAAACAGGAGCAGCGAGACGGGGGTCGGAGCCTGTCATTTGCAGTGCAAAGTACAGGCAACTGACGTAGATTCATTCATTCATTCGGTTTGTCTTTTGAGAGTCCTGTCCTGCCGCAGTGGTGCGATCAAGGCCCAGTGCAACCTCGACCCCCTGGGCTCAAGTGATCCTCCTACCTCAGTCTCCAGTGTGACTGGGACTACCGGTGTGTGCCACCACACTTAGCTGATTTTCGTATTTGTAGAGATGGGGTCTCATTGTGTTGCCCAGGCTGGTCTTGAACTCCTGGGCTCACTTGGTCCTCCTGCCTTGGCCTCCCAGAGGCCACTTTACTTAATGTAATTATAGGTGTTGTTAGGTGGGAATCTGTCATCTGTGTGTGAATTTATCATCTTGCCCTCTGTTTCCTTTTCCTTTTTTTTTTTTTTTCTTTTTATCTAATCCCAAGAAAACAGAGCTGTTGTCTGCCCGACTGCTCTGCTTGGAGAGGCGTTTGTTTGAGACAGGGTCTTGTTCTCTCGCTCAGGCTGGAGTGCAGTGGTGTGATCACAGCTCACTGTAGCATTGACCACCTGGGCTCAAGAGATCCTCTCGCCTCAGCCTGCAGGCTGGGACTCCAGGCACACGCCACCACGGCTGGCTACATTTTTAATTGTTTTGTAGAGACGGGGTTTTGCCACGTTACTGAGGCTGCCCCCAACTCCTGGGCTCTATGAGTCTGCCCGCCTCAGCCTTCCTAAGTGTCCCAATTACAGGTGTTAGCCATGGTGCCCGCCTCACGGCCTGGCTGTTTGCAGATTCATCCATGCTGTTGTGTGTATCAGCAGTCTGTTCCTTTTCGTTGCTGAGAGGTATTCCATTATGTGGGTGTGCACTCACCTGCTGGTGGACACTGGGCGGTTTCCAGTTCTTGGCTGTTGCAGGTAAAGCCGCTATGCACGTTTATGTGCGAGTCATGAATAGGAGTTAGTAGTCCTTGTTGATTTTGCCCGCTGTTAAGCGTGTGTGTGTTTGTTTTTGAGGTGGAGTCTTGTCTGCTGCCCAGGCTGAGTGCACAGGTATGTTTTGGCTTACTGCAGCTTACACCTGCCTCCCGGGTTCAGGTGACTCTCGCACCTCAGCCTCCTCAGTAGCTGGGACTACAAGTGTGCGCCACAACGCCCAACTGATATTTGTATTTTTAGTGGAGACGGGGTTTCTCCGTGTTGGCCAGGCTGGTCTTGAACTCCTGACCTCAGGCGATCTACCTGCCTCGGCCTCCCAAAGTGCTGGGATTAGAGTGGGAATAAATAAAACTATTCCCACCGCACCCGGGAATGGTTTTATTTATTTATTTTTATTTACTTAATTATTTTTGAGACAGTGTTTTGCTCTTGTTGCCCAGGCTGGAGCGCAGTGGCGTGATACCGGCTCACTGCAACCTCCGCCTCCTGGGTTCAAGCAGTTCTCCTGCCTCAGCCTCCCAAGTAGCTGAGACTACAGATATGTGCCACCACACCCAACTAATTTTGTATTTTTAATAGAGACAGGGTTTCACCATGTTGGTCAGGCTGGTCTCAAACTCGTGACCTCAGGTGATGCACCCGCCTTGGCCTCCCGAAGCCACTGCGCCTAGAGATTTATTTATTTTTTTGAGATGGAGTCTGGCTCTAGTTGCCCAGGCATGAGTGCAGTGGTGTGATCTCAGCTCACTGCAACCTCCGCCTCCCGGATTCAAGCGATTCTCCTGCCTCAGCCTCCTGAATAGTTGGGATTACAGGCACGCACCACCACGCCTGGCTAATTTCGTATCTTTAGTGTAGGCAGGGTTTCTCCATGTTGGCCACACTGGTCTTGAACTCCTGACCTCAGTGATCCGTCTGCCTCAGTCTCCCAGAGTGCTGGGATTACAGGCGTGGGCCACCCACTGGGCACTAGTTTTGTTTCGTCATGCTGGTCTTCCTCTGCCTTCTGAGGATAATTCGCTCCTGAGAAACTTCCCATAGAATAAGTCTTCTGAAAGTCACGTTTGAGGTCTCTTCCCATTCGTTGGCACGGAAAACATTTGAGTATTCCGTAGATGAATCCCTGTCACGCTGAAGTGTGTGGATAAATCCCCATCGTGCTGGATCGTGCCGTGACCTGTCCAGTTGTCGGGTAGTTGCTGTCATCCACACGCCGCGGTGCTGGCCAGCAGGGTCCTCCCCCAGGCCTGCGGCACGACCATCTGCCGGCACTTTTCACCCTTTCATAGCAGTTACGTTTTGAACAACTAGAATGATGCTTGCAACGCATCCTTGTGATGTTCCGTGTTTATGAAATGGAATCTTTAAAACCAAGAAAACAAAAAGGTCACTCAGAAATCCAACGTGACCGGACACAAAAGCGTGAGGCGTGAGGTGCCAATGCTCACGGAAGCTGCGTGACGAGCGACCCGGGCCGGGCAGGCTGTGTGAAGTCATGGGCCCAGGCCAGTCCTTGCAAATGTGAAACTCTAGTTGGGTATTACACTCCTGGCTGGGTGGGTGGCTCACACCTGTAATCCCACCACTTTGGGAGGCCGAGGCGGGTGGGTCACAAGGTCAGGATTTCAAGACCAGCCTGACCAACATGGTGAAACCCCGTCTCTGCTAAAAATATAAAAATTAGCCAGGGTGGTGGTGTGTGCCTGTAATCCCAGCTACTCAGGAGGCCAAGGCAGGAGAATCACTTGAACCAGGGAGGCGGAGGTTGCCCTGAGCTGGGATCACGCCATTGCACTCCAGCCTGGGCAGCAGAGCGAGACTCTGTCTCAAAAAAACATCAAACTCCTGAGGTGAGGTGGACTGCAGCAGCCGGAGGGACCTCCTGTCTCAGCCGGAGTGGAAGGTCCTGGAGGAGGCGTGCAGCACAGAGCCGTGTCCAGGCACAGCTTGCTCCACCTAGGCCCTGAAGTCGTGCCCTCGGTGGGATTTTTCCAGAATTCTTCCATTTAGACATAGATGTCCATGACAGATGGGATCCCCCGCGTATAGGTCTTCATTTGCCTTTAATTTTTGCTGAATCAATATTTAACAAATACTCACTGAGCACCTGTGAGGTATGGCCCTCAAGGCATCATGGAGGAGACGTGGCCTCGGTTCTTGGAGACTTCTTCCTGATCTGCGGGGCCACATCCTACTTTATCCTGCGAATATTCTAGATTAGGTCAGTCTTTGGTTGCTGGTGGCCTCGTTTTTTTTATTGCTGTTGAAAATAGTGCCAGCTGTGTGGCCTTCGCAGTAGGGTTCCTTCTGCCTTCTGGGCTGGGGTGTGGGCTGCACCAGTTCACACTGGATGCTTTGCCAGCACTGGTCTTTTTGTTTTGTTTTTTTGTTTTGTTTTGAGATGGGGTCTTCCTCTGTCGCCCAGGCTAGAGTGCAGTGCCGCGATCTTGGCTCACTGCAACCTCCGCTTCCCAGGTTCAAGTGATTCTCCTGCCTCAGCCTCCTGAGTAGCTGGGATTACAGGCACCCGCCACCATGACTGGCTAATTTGTACTTTTAGTAGAGACAGGGTTTCACCATGTTGGTCAGGCTGGTCTCGAACTCCTGACCTTGTGATCCACCTGCCTCAGCCTCCCAAAGCGCCGGGATTACAGGCATGAGCCGCGTGCCTGGCTGCTTTTATTATTTTCAGTTCATAATAATTGCACATACTTATATACAATTATGTGTGATATTTCCGGTAATGCGGAATGATCACACCAGGGCAATTAGTATAATATATCCACCTCCCCAAGCGTTTCTCATTTCTCTGTGTTGGAGACATTCCGTATCTTCTCGCTATTCGAAAATTACAATAAATGGTTGTAAATTCAGTCACCCTACAGAGCCCTGCACCTGTCCATCCTGTCCACTGTCCTCCTGTGCCCATTTCCCAGCCTGTGGCTGTTCCCCCCCCAGAGAAGCTAGTGCTTGCGGGAGCTCGGCTGGGGCTCTGGGTGAGGAGATGCCGGGGCTCACATGGTGCTCAGGCCGCCCCCAGTCATCGAGGCGTTTCTGCTCACCGGCCTTTCTCCTCCCTGACCACCTCTTCCCTAGGTCTGAAGCGGGTCACGGGCGGCTTTAACTCCAAGAACAAATGTGATGCCAGGACCTATTGCTACCTTCTGCCCACGTTTGCCTTTGCGCACAAGGACCGCGACGTGCAGGACGAGACCTACCGCCTGAGCGCTGAGACGCTGCAGCAGGTTAACAGGCTCCTGGCCTGCTACGAGGGCACGCACAACTTCCACAATTTCACCTCGCAGAAGGGGCCACAGGAGCCCAGCGCCCGCCGCTACATCCTGGAGATGTACTGCGAGGAGCCCTTTGTGCGGGAGGGCCTGGAGTTTGCCGTGATCAGGGTGAAGGGCCAGAGCTTCATGATGCATCAGATCCGGAAGATGGTCGGCCTGGTGGTGGCCATCGTGAAGGGCTACGCCCCCGAGAGCCTGCTGGAGCGCAGCTGGGGCACAGAGAAGGTGGACGTGCCCAAGGCGCCAGGACTCGGCCTGGTCCTGGAGAGGGTGCACTTTGAGAAGTACAACCAGCGCTTCGGCAACGACGGGCTGCACGAGCCGCTGGACTGGGCGCAGGAGGAGGGCAAGGTCGCAGCCTTCAAGGAGGAGTACATTTACCCCACCATCATCGGCACCGAGCGGAACGAGCGCTCCATGGCCCAGTGGCTGAGCACCCTGCCCATCCACAACTTCAGTGCCACCGCTCTCGCGGCAGCTGGCACAGGCGGCAAGGTAGGGACACGGTCCCAGCAGTGCTCAGCAGAGTGCAGGCCCACATTGCCCCCATTGTGCAGAGTGAGCTGAGGCACGGAGAAGGGTGTCACTTCCCCCAAGCCACAACGGCTGCCCCCTCCATGGTCAGGCTGGGTACCAGCACACCTTCTGTGGACCTGGCACAAGGCGTAACCAGCGGCTCTACAGCTGTGGAATGTAGCTTAGAACTGGAATGCACAGGATTGTCGGTGTGGGTGCGAAAAGCTAAATGAATGAAATTGTCATTCTCAGTTCTTTGCTGTGGGGTGAGAGTTCTTTCATGGTGGTCCAGTGAGGTTTCAAAGGGTGAAATTCCCAGGCAGGGCAGCGGAAGATTCTTCCCATCCTCTAGAGAGCTGAACACGGAGCCCTTCCTGTGCACCTGGGTGGCCAACTCAAGTGTATGCAGGCGCCAGGGGGCTGAGGTGGGCGGGCAGAGGGCCAGGCGCTCGGTGGGCAGTCATATAAGTCAAGTGTATGCAGGAGCCGGGGGCTGAGGTGGGCGGGCAGAGGGCCAGGCGCTCAGTGGGCAGTCATATAACTCAAGTGTATGGAGGCGCCAGAGGGCTGAGGTGGGCGGGCAGAGGGCCAGGCGCTCGGTGGGCAGTCATATAAGTCAAGTGTATGCAGGCACCAGGGGGCTGAGGTGGGCGGGCAGAGGGCCAGGCGCTCGGTGGGCAGTCATATAAGTCAAGTGTATGCAGGCGCCAGGGGGCTGAGGTGGGCGGGCAGAGGGCCAGGCGCTCGGTGGGCAGTCATATAAGTCAAGTGTATGCAGGAGCCGGGGGCTGAGGTGGGCGGGCAGAGGGCCAGGCGCTGGGTGGGCAGTCATATAACTCAAGTGTATGCAGGAGCCGGGGGCTGAGGTGGGCGGGCAGAGGGCCAGGCGCTCGGTGGGCAGTCATATAAGTCAAGTGTATGCAGGCACCAGGGGGCTGAGGTGGGCGGGCAGAGGGCCAGGCGCTTGGTGGGCAGTCATATAGATGGGGTGATGAGAGGCCCCCAGCCCAGGGGTGGCAGGGGTGGCAGGGGTGGGGGCCCAGGGCGGCTGGGCGCCCTCGTTTCCTCTGAAGGGGGGTAGTCGCAGCTCAGTGGCAGCTGGTGGTGGCCGTGTTGGAATATGACGGTCACAGCATGCTTACATATTGTCAAGCAAGGTAAACCAACCTTGCATGCTCGTGGGGATCTTCCCTTTTTAAGTACTGGTGGTGAACTGTCCCAACGCGGTGCAGGGCAGGCCAGCTTGGCCTGGGCTGGGTTGCACTGCTGACCCCACTGAGAGGCCTAGATGTTTCCAAGGTGCCTGCATTTGCATTTGCTGTTGCCAGATGGCCCCGTTGTGTTTTCCCGTGTGCTCGCTGAAGCCTGTGAGGATGGGAGGGAGCCTCACAGAGGCCCCACTAGTGTCCCCAGCCCTTGGCTTTCCTGACCTGGGAAAGAGAATGACCGAGATGAACACCAGCCTCTGCTCCTCATGAGGGATGGGTGGAGGCGAGGCTTCTGTGCCAAGCCTGTCACGGGCACCTCTGGGTGTTCCGGAGCAGCCCACGTGAGTGGGGAGAGTGCTCGCCTCTCATTCTCCATCTGCTCTTCTGCAGGCGCCCAGTCCCCTGGAAGGCAGTGAAGGGGACGGAGACACCGACTGAGGCAGTGGGAGCTGCCAGCCAGAGCGTCTCTGAGCAGCCCACAGTCTGTGCCCAGGCGCGCCACGCCAGTGGGCAGCAAGAAGCTGGGATCGCTGCAGCCGTGTTTCCTGACCTGGGAGCCGAGGCTTCTCAGGCATGCTGGCAGATGTGGCCTGGCGTTGAAACCTCAGGACCTTCCTTGTAGGAACAGCCTTCTCCAATCTATTTTCGGCTCTTGCGTTGCGTAGATGAATTTCAGCATGTAAAGAAGTATTTTTTTAAAAAGCTGATTTTCTTATTAAACACGTACACATTTTGCTTAGTGAACCCTTCGTTCGCCTTTCTCTTAGTCTCTCTTTTACATTTTGCTGTCCAGAGAGATGAGCAGAGCATGTTGTCCTGTTGGGAACAGGTACTGCTGAATAAGGCAGGCAGGCAGGCGCAGGAGGTGGCTCAGCCTATAATCCCAGCACTTTTGGAGGCCGAAGGGCAGATCGCTAACTTTAGGAGTTCAAGACCAGCCTGGGTAACATGGCAAAACCCTGTCTTTCCAAAACATTAGCCACCAGGCTTGGTGGTGTGCCCTGTAGTTCAGCTGCTCAGGAGGCTGAGGTGGGAGGATCACCTGAGCCTGGGGAAGTTGAGGCTTGCTCTGATCGCCACTGCACTCAAAACAAACCACCGTGGCCTGCTTTCTGCAGGGTGGGGCTGTGGGGGGCTCTGGAGCAGAGGCCATGCCCACCCACCACAACCCTGAGGCATGGCAGCCCGGGGCTCCTCTTCCTAGATGGCTCCATGCATGTGGCCTTTGCCCTGGTTGAGGCGGGCATGTGCCTCTGCACTGTCCAGGTGCCAGCCGGGTGGGGGCTGGGGCAGAGGGCAGAAGGAAGGGGCACGTGTCAGAACAGGCCCCTAGTTCAGCTTTCTGGAAGCCACCACCGGCTGCTTTACGTCATTGGCCACAGGTGTGTCAGCCTCTCTTGCAGCTGCCGTCCCTAGCACAAGGGAGGCTGGGGAAGACTGCATTTGAAGTGGTGCTCAGTGCAGAACAAAACACCTTGAGCTATCCAGGAGCAGGGGATCCTCGGCAGGCGGGCTGCCAGGAGCCCAGGGAGGGGCTGAGTGGGGGAAGTGCTGTGCACACGTGTGGCCTCCCAGCCTGCAGCACACGGACACCCATGACCAATGCGCTGGTGCCCAGCATCCTAGTGGCGCACGTGACTAACGCGCACATGCCCGACGTCCCAACAGTGCACGTGACTGATAGGCAGGCGCCTATTGCCCCAGCAGTGTGTGAGGGCACGTGAGTGACGCACATGCTTGGGCCCATGACTTGGTGGACGCCTGTGGGTGGAGAGCAGTGAGGCAGGACACGTAGGATCGGGAGACGCTTCGGGCAGTGAGCGCCAAGGGTGTAGGGTGTCCAGCAGAGCAGAGCCGGTTTTAGGGATTTTGGCCAGAGGAGCAGTGGGGCTCCCTGGTTTGGAAGCCAGGGAGTGCAGGTGTGAGGCCCACTGGGTTTTGGGTTTGAGGGATGGATGAACTGAGGCCATTAACTGGAATGGGAGACAGGGAAAGGAATGGGTTTGGAGAACTAGCAGGAGCTTGGTCGCAACCGTGTTAATTTTGCCTGTAATAGACTTTATTACTTAAAAAAAATTTTTTTTTTTTTAATAGAGACAGGGTTTCACCCTGTTGGCCAGGCCAGTCTTGAACTCCTGACCTGAGGTGATTGGCCCGCCTTGTCCTCTCAAAGTGCTGGGTTTACAAGCATGAGCCACCGCACCCAGCCGGACTTTTTTATTTTTTGAGACAGTGTCTTGCTCTGTTGCCCAGGCTGGAGTGCAAATGGCGCAATCTCAGCTCACTGCAACCTCTGCCTCCCAGATTCAGGTGATTCTCCTGCCTCAGCCTCCAGAGTAGCTGGGAGTACAGGTGTGCACCACCAAGCCCAGCTAAGTTTTGTATTTTTAGTAGAGATGGGCTTTTGCTATGTGAGCCAAGCTGGTCTGGAACTCATGACCTCAGGTGATCCATCTGCCTTGGCCTCCCAAAGAGCTGGGATTACAGGCGTCAGCCTCCGCGCCCAGCCTGGGTGACCCACTTAAATCACTTTTAATGATCCTGGGGTATGTGGTGTTTTAAAATAATATGTATTCGGTTGAACAATCCAAGATGGCCGATCGCTAACATCCAGGGATTGCAGCTCTCAGGGAAGGCGCGGAGAACTAGAGGACGCCACACTTTCAGACAACGACTCTCGTGGTCGGCGCAGCGGTTCCGCCGGCACCTCAACGCGGCAGCGCTCGGCGCAGAGTAAACGGGACCAGTTCCCCTTCTGACCGAGGTTTGGAGCCCTGGGAAGGCAGAGTCGCCTACTACGGACACAAGAAGGAAGCCAGACAGGAGAATCCTGGGCAGAAAAGCACCGTCAGTTTTAACGCCGCTGCTCTGGCCCTGGGAACTAACAACCTGGACGTCCACTCAAGAGACCTAATCTGAAAGTTGGTAATTTCAAAGACGACAGGAGGATAAATTTACAATGACGGGAAGAAACCAGCGTAAAAAAGCTGAGAATACTCAAAGTCAGAACGCCTCTCCCTCTAAAGATGATCACAGTTCCACATCAACAATGGAACAAGGCTTGACGGAGAATGAGCGCATCCCAATGACAGAATCACTCTTCAAGGAATGGATAATAACAAACTTCGGTGAGTTAAAAGAACATGTTGTAGCCCAACGTAAAGAAACTAAGAACTTTGAAAAAAGGTTTGATGAAATCCTATTGAGAATAGACAACTTAGAGAGAAGTATGAGTGAATTAATGGAACTGAAGAATACAATACAGGAACTCCGAGAAGTATGCACAGGTTTAAACACTCGAATTGTTCAAGCAGAAGAAGGGATATCAGAGGTCAAAGTCCAACTTAATGAAATAAAACGTGAAGAAAAGATTAGAGAAAAAAGGATAAAAAGGAATGAGCAAAGTCTCTAAGAAATGTGGGACTATGTGAAAAGACCAAATTTACGTTTGATAGGTATACCTGAATGCGACGGAGAGAATGAATCCAAGCTGGAAAATACCCTTCAGGATATTATTCAGGAAAATTTTCCTAAACTAGCAAAGCAGGTCAACATTCAACCCCAGGTAATACAGAGAACACCACAAAGATATTCCTCAAGAAGAGCAACCCCAAGGCACATAATCGTTAGATTCACCAGGGTTGAAACGAAGGAGAAAATACTAAGGGCAGCCAGAGAGAAAGGTCAGGTTACCCACAAAGGGAAGCCTATCAGACTTACAGCAGATCTCTCGGCAGAAACTCTACAAGCCAGAAGAGAGTGGGGGCCAAAATTCAACATCCTCAAAGAACAGAACCTTCAGCCCAGAATTTCATATCCAGCCAAACTAAGCTTCACAACTGAAGGAAAAATAAAATCTTTTATGAACAAGCAAGAACCCATTTATTACCACCGGGTCTGCTTTACAAGAGCTTCTGAAGGAAGCATTACACACAGAAAGAAACAACCAGTATTAGCCTTTCTAAAAATACACCAAAAAGTAAAGAGCACCAACATAAAGAAGAATTTACACCAACAAATGGATAAAACAGCCAGTCAACATCAAATGGCAGTAACCCTAAATTTAAATTGACTGAATTCCCAATCAAAAGACACAGCCAAAACCCAATGGCATGTTACATCCAGACCTGTTTCACATGCAAGGATACACAAAGACTCAAAACAAAGGGATGGAGAAAGATTTACCAACCAAATGGAGAGCAAAAATAAATAATAAATAAATAAAAAGCAGGAGTTGCAATTCTTGTATTGGATAAAATAGATTTTAAAGCAACAAAGATATAGTGGTAAAAGGATCAATGCAACAAGAGCTAACGATCCTAACGCCCAGATAGGAGACTTAGATTCAATGAGACATAATAAGGATATCAAGGACTCGAACTCAGATCCAGAACAAGTAAACTTAATAAATATTTATAGAGCTCCCCACTTCAAATACACAAAATATACATTCTTGTCAATACCACATCACACCTACCCATTAGTTTAAATGAAACATTGATTGGCCATTATTAATACCCAATTTTTTCAAAATAAAGCAATATTTCCATTTACTCTCCCTCTTTCTCTTCCTCTTTCTTCCTCTCCTTTACTTATTTTTTTTTTCTTTCCTTCTCTCAAAAAAAAAGAAATCAACTTGTAAACCTCTAGATCCAGGTCGGCAATGTCTCTTTCATTGCTTGATTTCCTTTCTTCCCTTCCCTCCCTCCCTCCCTCCTCGCTTCCTCCCTTCCTTCCTTCATCCCTTCCTTCCTCCCTACCGTCCTTATTCCCTTCCTTCCTACCTTCCTCCCCCACCCAAAAAAAAAATAATAATATGTATTCAAGGAAGGAAATAAAAAACATAAAAGGGAAGTTGCCTTTCATTCTCTAATAGCATCCTTGTCCCGAGGCCACTGCTCTTGCCAGTGTCCTGTGGCTTCTGGAGAGTTCCGTGCATATGTAAGCATGCCTGAACTTCTGCAAGGATGGCAGTGTGTCTCCAACAAACCCGGATAATGTTTTCACTGCTCTGTGGTCGTCAAAAGGTTTCTTTTTCTTTTTTTTTTTTGAGACGGAGTTTTGCTCTTGTTACCCAGGCTGGAGTGCAATGGCGCAATCTCGGCTCACCGCAACCTCCGCCTCCTGGGTTCAGGCAATTCTCCTGCCTCAGCCTCCTGAGTAGCTGGGATTACAGGCACGCACCACTGTGCCCAGCGAATTTTTTGTATTTTTAATAGAGACGGGGTTTCACCATGTTGAGCAGGATGGGCTCGATCTCTTGACCTCGTGATCCACTTGCCTCGGCCTCTCAAAGTGCTGGGATTACAGGCTTGAGCCACTGCGCCCAGCTCTCTTTTTTTTCTATTTGAGACAAGGTCTTGCTCTATCGCCCAGGCTGGAGTTCAGCGGTGCAATCACAGTGCAGAAGAGCGTCTGTCTTCTGGGCGCGAGCGATCCTACAGGCGTGCCACCCTGCCAGGCTAATTAAAAAAAAATTTTTTTTTTCTTTTTTAGAGACAGGGTCTTGCTATGTTGCCCAGGTGGTCTCAAACTCCAGGCCTCTACTGATCTTCCTGTGTCAGCATCCCAATGCGCTGGGATTGTGAGCTACTGTTCCAGGCCCAGAGATTTCTTCAGATGCAAAAAGTGAAAGAAAAAAAGAACACGTTGATTTTCACCAAAATTAATAGCTTCTCATTGAAATGGCCACTCTGAAAAATTTGCCAAACCTGTCATTTCACTTAACTGCACTCAGGATTTCG